GCGATGCCGCATCCGAAACTTGTTCCAAAGTCACCGCCACCAGCATTGAGGCTTGTCTCCAAGGTCAAGCCAGCACCAAAGAACATCCTGGATGAAGAGACGGAATCCGACAATCATCCTGGTGATCGACCTGCGCTTCCAAGGCGACCAGTGATGCGTCCTGTTCTCACATCCAATGATCGGTGGTTTGTAACATATGGATCGGATACAAACATCAGCCTCCAGAAGGAATCCGTGCACCCAGGACCTTTCGGAAACTCAAAATTCCTGTACGAGTACTACAGGGAATGCTCAACCATCCTTGATGTCAATCCGGATTTCCACTTCGTTCCTGAGCATCAGAGAACACATGGAGTTAAAGTATTCTGGTTGAAGGCCAGATTCAACGATTACTGGCAGCCAACACTCCAAGGTGAAGGACCTCATGCGGAGAAGCAATACATGGACTTCATCAAGAAGGTCTACAGCATCTGCTGCTACACCAATGCTCAATCCGAAGTTTACGGAACCGACATCATCCCGATGGTATGCCACAATGGCAACATTGAAGACCGTCCAGAACATCGAACAGGTTTGCAAATACTTCAGCATGGATCATCCAAGGCGAAACAGATCACAGATCTCATCCTCTGGCGAATTGAGAGAATGAGCAGATCACTTTCCGGATGTCTTCGACATGATCCAAGGCATGGAACCCATAAGGAATGCAAACGACCAGTGGACAGGGGTCCTGATGGTTCCGTCGAGCTCTTGACCTGCATCACACATGCCAGGAACTTCATGGGAAATAAGCCAGGACTTCTCTTGATGGCTATGTTCCCGAGCTATGGAAAATCACGTTTCGAAATTGCATTCGTATTTCCATCCGTGGACGGGACATACAATGAGCGCAAGGCACGGGGAGAAATTGTTCCAAGGAATCGATGGATCGACAAGCTCAACACAAGATCCGCACAAAATGCGCTCAGGCCAGATGGCAATGAATTCTATGTCGATCCGGAGATGGAGTTCTATGTGAGATGCAACAGCGGACACACACGACAAGTCGAGATCCAATCCTTCGGACGACCCCTCTACTCTGAGCCAGAACTGGGGAACCACATTCGGAATGTTCAGATGTTTCTTCGGAACTAAAGGAGATGGCACTGATCCCGAATATGGAATTCCGACCTCGGATTGCTTGGCAACCACAGGAACATCCATGTTTACTGAACCCAAGAAGTACATTGGATCGAGATTGCCAGCACGCACCATTGTCCAAGGACATGGCCGAGACAAGGAGATCGTCGTTCTCCACATCGAGCAGAGTGATGAGTTTCGTGGCATGATCCCGAAATCATCTGACAAGTCGTTCCACGAGTATGACGACCGCCACATAACGAGGGCAGATCTCCCATTCGCTACCATTGGAGTTTTCCACATCCATCCTTCAATTAGCCATGGAGCAGCAAGGGAAGATCTTCAAAATGAAATCATGCCGCTCGTGACTTTGTACCGATGCGATGCGATTACCGGAGACGCCAACAAATCAGCGAACACCTACAGCAAGCTCCAGCACGTCTTCAATCCGGCCAACGGTCTCGTGAACATCCTCATGAGAGAATATCAGAGACTGTGGAATGAAACGAAAGACTTGCCACTCGTGGACAGAATGGAGTATGCAATGGAGACTTCGCGCACCCTAAAATCCATTATCCGTCATCACCTGTACATGAAGTGTGGATCAGGATATGATCGAACATTCCCAGACGTGATGATGACTTTCGTATTTGGATGGGGCAAAACGAACATCTAGCAGGCTTTCCGGAAGGACGAGATGAACGGCATGGATGATGAACAACTGGAATTCATGCAGAACCATCCAACCAAGGCCATATTCGATTATCAGGTCTCATCCGCAGAGCGCTTTAAGCACGTGAACAATGACATGTTCATGAATGGCTCGCAGGACTCCGACTCTCACAGTCCTCTCATGGTGTACATCCGCAGCAAATCTGCAACCAGCAAACGCAGCGCTGAGAGATACCAGGAGTACATCAAGAAGAAGCAACCCTGGACCCCGCAGGAGTACAAGGACTACAACAAGCAGTGCGGACGTCAGAAGCAGTGGAAGGACTATAGCAACTCGACCTGGAATGATTATGGAGACTATGGCAGTCAATCCGACAACAGCCGCCGATGGTATCGTCGATCCGACTGACCATGAAGATTCATACGTTCAGCACCACGAACTCAATGCAGATGATTGATCCTCGCCGTCTACAAGACTATACCATGAGTGAGAGATCAATAGTTTCACAATCGTCCCTCGTGTGCATAGCGTTGTACACCACCTTTTGATACATCTAGGTATCTCGAAAAGAAGCAGTACATAGTGTTTTCCATTTCGAAAGCCAAGACATTTCATCCGAGCAGAAAAGAGGATGAATCCGCTATGTTTAATACACATGGCTACGGCACACAGCATGGCTACGGCATACATCAAAGGCTACGGCCAAAGGCCATGAAGCCAATAGTATTTCATACTTAGTGCTGGAGATCAAAAGAAATTTGTGTCTGTTTTTTTATAATTCCAGTTGATCTCCCGCAACCATTTGGCTCAAGGCCCCTTTTGTCATCAATGATCGCGTGAAGCAAAAGAACCTTTGCAGGCCGCTTACAGGATTATCCACAAGACAATCCACCAGGGACAATCCATCCTCCAATCATCCACATTGGCATATTGGATTCTCTCCAGAATATATCCAGGGACCAACAACGACCTCTACTACCACAGGGTAACAGTTCCCTTCTGGGATAGGCACCTCGGGCAGTGGGCCTCCCCCCCCCCAAAGGCCCAAAGAAAATCAACATTTTGTGTCCCCATAAAGCTACTCCCTCAAAGAAAGACGCTCTCAGTTCCCCTTCTTCAAGGCTTTAGCCGTTTCAGATTGGCATGAAGCAACACGCAAACCCGTGACACGGAACACCAAGCGGAACAACGCCATCAGTTTGGGGCCCTCTTATTCTGACACGCGGGAGACCATGCGAGCACCATGGATGGTGATGCCGGCAAGCCCAGATTTCCCAAACCGGATCACATGGAACCTAGAAAGGGATTGGGGTTTTCATTGGCTTTGGAGGCATCCTGAAATTTCAGGATGCAAATCACATGCAACCTATAGAACTAGACCATGGTTGGCCCGAAAGCATAACATCGCAAGCGAGGTCGGCCCAACGCTGCAGGATGCGTTCTTTTTCCCTCCACGAAGCATTTGTGAAGCAAGCGCAAGACAGCACCAGGCAAGGTGCTCTGCGCAAACTGGTCGGTGCAAGTTGGTCTGTGCAAGTTGCTCTGCGCAAGTTGCTCCGCGCAAGTTGCTCCGGCAAGTTGGTCCCTGCAAGTGGCTCCCTGCAAGTTGCTCTGTGCAAATTGCGCTCCCTGCAAGTTGCTCTGTGCAAGCTGCTCTGTGCAAGTTGCTCTGTGCAAGTTGCTCTGCGTAAGTTGCTCTGCGCAAGTTGCTCTAGGCAAGGCGCTCTGCGCAAACTGGTCGGTGCAAGTTGGTCTGCGCAAGTTGCTCTGTGCAACTTGCTCTGCGCAAGTTGCTCTGCGCAAGTTGCTTTAAAATGCAAGTTGCATCTTGCGACGCCCGCCCGCGGACCAGGGAGGAATCGAACCCGCGACCCGCCGGTTCCGGGAGCAGGCGCGCGAACCACGAGACAACTCCCGAGGACCAGTTCGAACAACAAAAGTCGCAAAAAACCTCGTTTTTGCACCTCGACCACGCCGATTCCCGCAGAGCGTTGCGCGGGCACCGCAGAAATCACAAAAAACCTCGAGTTTTTGCACCTCGACCACGCCGATCCCTGCAGAGGGTCGCGCGGGAACTTTAGCAAAAAACCTCGAGTTTTTGCACCTCGACCACGCCGATCCCTCGCGCGAGAACTTTAGAAATCGCAAAAAACCACGAGTTTTGCACCTCGACCACGCCGATCCCCGCAGAGGGTCGCGCGAGCACCACAGAAATCGCAAAAAAACCTCGAGTTTTTGCACCTCGACCACGCCGATCCCCGCAGAGGGTCGCGCGAGCACCGCAGAAATCGCAAAAAACCATGAGTTTTTGCACCTCGACCACGCCGATCCCCGCAGAGGGTCGCGCGGGAACTTTAGAAATCGCAAAAAACCATGGGTTTTTGCACCTCGACCACGCCGATCCCCGCAGAGGGTCGATTTTCGTGTAGTGTCGTCGGCACTACCCCGCCGCCCTAAGAAGAGATTTTAACTCCTCGCAAGTCAATTGCACTTGGCTCCTTGCACTTGCAACACACTTGCAACTTGCATGACTCCAATGCACACAACTTGCACACTTGACTCCTTGCACTTGCAACTTGCACTTGACTCCTTGCACTTGCAACTTGCACTTGACTCCATGCGCTTGGCTCCTTGCAGCAATGACTCTCATGACTCCTTGCAATGACTCCTTGCAATGACTCCTTGCAATGACTCCCTTGCAATGACTCCTTGCAATGACTCCTTCTTGCAATGACTCCTTGCAATGACTCCTAGCAATGACTCCTTGCAATGACTCCTGCAATGACTCCTTGCAATGACTCCTTGCAATGACTCCTTGCAATGACTCCTTGCAATGACTCCTTGCAATGACTCCTTGCAATGACTCCTTGCAATGACTCCTTGCAATGACTCCTTGCAATGACTCCTTGCAATGACTCCTTGCATTGACTTTCATGATGATGATTCCTTGCAATGACTCCTTGCATTGACTTTCATGATGATGATTCCTTGCAATGACACCTTGTAATGACTCTCATGAGAACAACTCAAGTGAACCCAGCGGAAGAACCCTTCGCCATGCTTTCGGGAAAAAGAAGAAACTATTTGGTGTTTTGATGGTGTTTGGCATTTCCATGGTGGGTACAGTCGTTCACCCCCAACTTTCCGGCGAGGTTTGGGGTTCCCTTGGTGGAACCAGTCGGTCACCCCCCACGTTTTCCGGTCTCGCCTTGTCCCCGTGGATGGAGTCGCAGCGCACCCTCGCGCGGTTTAGCCCGTCTTCCAGCTGCTCGCAGGTCTTCTTGGTGTTGCAGAAGATCATGGCGCGGTTCTCCCCGCGGCCCTTCTCGGAGATGTCCTAAAACCAGGAACGGTGCGCGCGAGTTGCAAAAACTCACGGGAACCTGGGACCTGGGTGGTTTTCTGCTCCCCTGCTAAAAGTGAATAACTCTTTGTGGTTCAATGGTTCAATGGAAAACCCATTCGTTGGACTTCAAACCAAGGAGAACCGCCCACAGCAACATAAACCAGGTCTATGGAGTTGACCAGGTTTCAAGAGCCATCTAGAGATGAAAATCCGCGCACTTCGTGGGCAAACCGAAAACCATGAAAACGCAACGCCGGTTTCCAGTGCGTAGGCATAAACAAGGCTGCTGCATCAGACACAAATACCAGTGGCCCGTAAACATCGCAAACATCATTCCCAATAGCCTGAGTAGTTGTGCCACTCGAGCAGGATGCGCAAGTTGCAAACTCACCGAACCTCCCCCCGGCGTAGGAAACACTTCTGGGACATGGCCATGGGCCAAAATCCAAATCATACGTGAACACCCCAAACTGGTACCATTGGTTTTGCTCCACAGCCACATGTCTAGAGGGACCTATAGGGAAACACAATGAAAGCCGAAGCCCATTGCAGGGTCTTTCTTGGACATGCGTGGACTTCTGCGGGAAAGGACGGAGTGGAGTCTAAAGGGAAACCCGAAACAACCCCCCGCACAACAGGAATATATGGCACACTCCGTCGGAGTTCTGAGCCTTTAACAATTTGGGGTTGATTTGAAAGGAAGGCATCATGACAACCACCCTTTTGGGGGCGAACAACCTTATTTTGACACGGGCAAACAAACCCCTTTTCTCGCCGAGCGTCGTACTCCAAGAACAGCTTGGTGAGGGCACGGACCTTCTTGTCCGGATCCACGATCTTCACCACCTGCTTGATGGTATCCGAGGCCTTGAGCTGCTCGCTGCTGCCAATCTTCACCTGAACACCCGTTGACTTTTCTGGGCTGCCCTCAGATCCCCTGCTAAAAGTCAATATCTTTTAGCGAGTCAAATGGACACCCCCACTAAACACGAAAAGTCTAGAAAGCTAAGGGGATGGCTGGGAGCCACCAAGTTTTGGTTCGGTACCCCCAGTTCAGCGACCCTGGCACAGAAAGGTTGAAACTATTTGTGGGGTGGACGAGTTTTAGAAAAACAAGAGCCATCAAACAAAAAAAGAGGAATGGTGGCGCTGAATAGCTGGGAACCAGAACAAAAGTGGTTTTCTTTGAAAGAGGCCGTGGCACAAGCACTTGCTGAAAGGGCCAATTGGGGTGACTGCTGGGTCTGCCGAAATGATCATACAGGTTGCGTGTAGGTGCCATCAACCCACCCACTGCAACCGCTTGCTAAAAGGATTTGATCGGCCGCGATTTGTCCCAAGACCAAATTCAACGAGTCATCGCCGAAGCCTTGCCCAAAACCAGATAAACTCGGTTGCTAACTCTGCTCCCCTGCTAAAAGTTTTCTAACTTTTAGTGGTTTAATGGAAAACCCATTAGTTGGCAAGAAGTTAAAGTCCTAACATCCAAGCAACATGCACCAAAGTAAAGATCCATAAACGAGATGGCCCCATGCTTCTGTAGAGCCAGCACATCTAAAGCAAAGCAGCCTGGTGAAGCTGCGGTAAACTATTCTAGGGTTCTCCCAGGAAAAGAATGGCAAGAACAAATTAGATAACGAAACTCCACTGTAAGAAAGGTGGTTTTAGGAGTTGTTTCAATGGTGGCTGACCCCCACATAACAGGGCTCCCAACTTATGATCCACGGCTCCAGCTTCCAAGGAGTGTCTCCCACCCTTTTGCCGGAGGAATCTGGGCCAACCTCTTGTGCCCAAACGGTGCAACCATCCTTTTGGCGTCTTTTAGAAGGCTGTAACGATTCGGGTCTGATTGTTTCAACAATTCAAAAGAGGGGCTGCTGCGGCTTACACCTTCTGCAAAATCACGTCGAAAGCGATCCCAGCCTAACACACTGTTGGGCAATCCAGAGGGAAGGCAACCTTGAAACCTGAATTTGTGCAAAGCGTGGGAGACCCAAGCAAAAAACACAGCCGACATACAGAGATGCCAGGTTTTATGAGGCCGGGCTGCCCTCAGATCCCCCGCTACATGTTTACCTTTTTAGTGGGTTACATGGAAATCCTAAAAAGCTAAAGGGCTAAGGAACCGGATGGCTGGGAGGTAGCAAGGAGGCACATCCGTCCTGGAAGGGCTTGTTGAGGAAGTCCGCAGCAATCTTCTGGACGTTGGCGTTCCAGGTCGCCGTGAAGAACAGCGTCTGCCGCTCCGTGCGCTCCTGGCGCTACGTTTTTGAACCAAACGAACGAGCGATGCGGCGATGAGGCGCGCAAAACGATGTGGGACGTTTGAGGGGGAACACGCTTCTGGGGGTTGTTGGAAAGGGAAACCAAAAGGGCGCCGAAGGAAACCAGTCATTGTTGAACCCCTGAAAAGTGGCGGACATAATTTCGCACGCAATTTTGATATCCGCCTTGAGGGTTCCCAATTGAACATCGTACTGGCCCAACCCTGCCCGATGTTCAGTTGATGGACCCACAGACCTTTTAGGACCTTGAATCCTCCTTTTATGTCGTTGCATTCTTGAGGGGTTGTCAAAATCACTTTTTGGGTGGTGTCCCCTTCAACCACCAGCTAGAGGGAAACTCTTTTGTGGAGAAAACAGATAGCTTGTTAACCAAGGAGAGGCCAGAGAGTGCGGTGGAAGACTAGGCTGAGAGTCACCTTGGGATGTGTGCGCAAGAAGGGAGGAGACCTGGGCTGACCTGGGAAGGCTGCTATGAGCTTTCAGGTGATGGGAGTGGGTCCGGTAGCAATGAGGATCCTATGAGGGCTGGTAGAGGGGTCCGATTTCTTTCGGCTGGGGAGGGTCATCTGCGATCTTCTGAAGTTCGAGAGCTATGCCAGCAGCCAAGGACCTCCAGAGGCCTGTGAAGTATTTGCCCATTGCCTCTGCCGGAAGTGGTGGATGGCCTTCCCGAGGTAGACTATGTCATGCGGGAGCTTTGTACTTGGCTGAACCGCTATTGTGGAGCTACGGAGTGGTGGGGCGCGCCAAACGTGGCCAAAAGGATGCGGAAGGTGTCCCTTGTTGCATGGGGCTATTCTATTTCTCTGAGGGCGTTGCTTTGGTGCTTTTGAGGACTATCTTCTTCCTAGAGATCTTCAGAGTATCCCCAAGCCACATGTAATGGCGGACGATCGGGGAACGAGTGTGCACGGGACTGATTGACCTGGGGACTTGCGAGTTTGGGGAGGGAGCCTTGTGAGTTTGATGGGCCCTCCCGAAGTGGGATGGTTGCTGGGGGCAACAAGTTCTGTACAGGTTCTGATGGTTTACAAGAAATGCCGCGGTTGATCATGAATCTTGTCCCTTTGAACGAATCTGCAAACACACCACGACGTTGCCTTTGACCCGGGGTATGAGTACCTTTGCGCTGGGCGAGGATGAGACTTGATGAGTGGAAGAGCTTCCTCGAATCGCGAAGAAGGTGCCTTTGGGGGGCGCTTCCGCCACACCAACGGGCAACCTTAAACCAATCTCAAACCAACCCTAAGCCAACCTTGAAACCAACCTTTAAACCACTGTGAATGTGGAAGACATCCAAGGTGAACAAACAAAAAGCTTGAAAATTGAGACTGCGAACTCAAAACTCAGAACTCGAATGTGGAACTCGAAGCTCGGAACTGAGCAACTCTCCAAAATTGAGAGGGTCGAAACTCGGAACTCGAAAGTTGGAGCCAGGCACTCGAAACCCGAGACTCTCAACTCGCAAATCGGACCGAACGCAGATCTCGAAACTCGGCGCTCGACAGACCCGAGACTCCAAATTCGAAACTCAGAACTCGAAACTCGAAATCGTCGTCTAGCGCTTTCTGCACTTTTCAGAGAGTCGGGAGTCGGGAGCCAAGATCCCTTCCGGCTCTGTGTGTTGTCCAGGTTGAAGATGCAGCATGCAGCACTACAAATGTGTGCTCTCGCACCTGCAGCTTAAGGAGAGATAATTTCAGACTCTGTTCCCCCCATGACATTCATTCGGTGCGGTCCTCACGTATTTTCAATCTTCCGTTTCCCGAACATTGCTTATGGAGTTCCTATCAAGGGGTAGGTAGTTGAACCCTAGGGTTCCTTAGCATTTCTTAGGGCTCCTTAGAGGTTCGAATATGGTTTGAGGCTTTCGAATTTGCGCCTGCAATCTTCATGCTTTTCATGTACTCGCCGTCGCGGTGGCCAAAGCAGAAAATCAATTCGGCTCTCGCAAAAGGCGGCCATCAAACCCACCCCTCCATAGACACATTGGATCATTTGTCTACGAATGTGCCGATCGGGCCTTTGGAACAGCCTTATCGGCTTTGAGACCATTTAAAACATTCCAAAGCGAGTCGATCTGTGGTCAAAGCTCCGTATATGGCCTCCAGTCATGGTTCCCTTCATAGGAATCATTACGGTCATACCAGATCCTGACCAAATGAATGACCATCCCAACGCTCAGCTCAAGCAAAGGAACCGGGTAAATCCGACCATGGCGCATCTGTTGACATTGCCTGAGGGGATGACCCAACATCTTGACTTTACCTTTTCTGCACCATGTTTTTCGGGGCTCCTCCCGGCTGACGAATTTTGTCGCTGGGTGGTTTCGCCCCCTGGTGCGAAGTCAGAAGCTCATCGCATCAACTGAACTTGTCTAAAAGGGGGAAATGAACGACTGAACCCTCCCGCAAGGAGGTTCCGTAGAGGGGATATGAATTTTTGGGTTGAGTCTAGCGAAATTCTTGGTGCAACACCAACATTTGAAACTTCAGATCCTGTTTCATATACTTACAGCATGGTGAAAGTAGATGGCACAATTCCCCTGTGGGCCAGAAAGGGGATAATGAGTGACCAACATGGGATAAAATTGTGCCATCTCCTTTCACCCAACTGCACCCATCATTACTTGGTGGCTCTTGCCTGCGCAATTGAGTTGAACTTGTTGCGCGCGGGCGGAACTAATTCACATCCGCAACCAAGCTTTTCAGGTTTTTCAGATCCATCCCAACAGAAGAGCATGGACCAGAGACTCGCCTGACCCGCGTTTTCTCTCACTCCAAACACGGGCGGATCCATCCATCCGTCGAATCGAATCGAACCGAATCGGATGTCCTTCACCTCGTTCACCGCCTTGCGGATCTGGGGCTCGAAGCCCATGTCCAGCATGCGGTCGGCTTCGTCCACCACCAGCTTGCACACGTTGCCTATGGGACACGGCCGGGTACTGTAGCCGACCCCCGCGCTAAGGGCCCTCCCCAAAAAAAAACGAGGACCCCAAACTCGAAACCAAAAAGGGCTACGCCCTAAAAACATCGGCTTTTTTTGCCTTTTTGGGGCAAAATAACCCCCTTGAGGCTTTGCATGTTTTTTGAGGAAGGGACACCAAATCCGCTTTTGGGGTGCCTCTCAAAACAGGAATCGCTCCATTTCCTCAAACCTTGAGCAGCCAACCATACCCTAAAAGCGCTTGAAACTAGCCACTTCAATGCACCCAGACCCTCGAAATAGGGAGTCTCATGTTAAAACCTGCATAGCTATTGCCCCTAAAACGAAAAACGGGACTTTGTCAGTCAACCCCCCTTAACCACCAAAAATTGCCAAGCCCCCCACCCCCACCTTGGAGTTGGCGTTTTCACTGGCCCCAACTGTGTCATACTCAAACCCGGTAGTAAAATGGTCTGCCCAGAATCATTCAAAGAAGTACTCAGGCGGCTGCACCCATTTATGGCAAGGGGATTGTCCCTTACTAACCTTCACTCAGTTGTTCAGTGACCCTGGACAAAAAAGGAACCCTTTTTTGGGAAGACAATTTTTAGCGGGGCAGCCACCAAACAAAAGGGGAAAAAGGGAGTTCATCTACCCGGGTTTTGATGGCTCAACTGGCCACGGTATCGGCCGAGCTGCCCAGCTTCACCTCCTTGCCCTCCACAAAGTCGTTCAGCCGGCCTGCGGCACCGCTGATAGACCCGCAGGCCGGACCCGACCCCCAAAAGGCTGACGGGTTGGATCTTTTGGTGGGGCGCAACCCCGTTTTGGGGCATCAAAATTGAATCACTTCCGGGGATCAACCCGAACCACTTTTGGGGATCAACTCATTTTGGGGATCCATTTGGGGATCCGTTTTGGGGATCCGAAACACTTTAAAGACATTGCTCGAATCATCTGGCAGGCAACACAAATACCGTGGATGGACACAAAACACGCAGGTGGTTTATCCACAAGTATCACTAGGGTTCAACCATCCCACCTGGTGCAAGATTTGGATCCGCAGTATGAGGGGCGAAATAACGATGAACATGTTTTGCCCCAATGAGCATGGCCTAACTTGGCGTTAAAGTACCTCACAACCCCATTCGGGCCATTCTTGCCCTGACCTTCTTACTTGCTCAAAGGACCCAGATATAAAAGGTTCTGAATAAAACTGGACCAAGGGGAATCTAAAAGGTCTAAAGGTGGATTCGCTTTGGGCAAGTGTGGCTTTAAAACCAGCATAAAGTGGGTCACTCCGGAGGCACGAACCGTGCCACCCCGCGTGCGACGGTCGAAATATGCGGCTCCCGCAGAGAACATGGGAACCTTGGCTGCGCACGATACAGGTCAATGTCAATTAATTTCAATACCCTGCATTGGTCGCATTGTTTCCTTTTAAGTAAAACTCAATGCAAGCTTCTCTTGAGGGCACTCTGTCCGACTTGGTTAAAGGGGCACGTCAGAATCTATTTGCGCAGCCGATTTTTCACCCACATCCGCGGGCAAGTTCGACTGCCCGGTTCACATGGGCAGTACGCCTGCACCTTTGCAAACAGTGGAGCAACCGGGACTTAGGTATGCTTGTTGTGGTGGTTGTGGTGGTTGTGGTGGTTGTGGTGGTTGTTGTTGTTGTTGTTGTTGTTGTTGTTGTTGTTGTTGTTGTTGTTGTTGTTGTTGTTGTTGTTGTTGTTGTTGTTGTTGTTGTGGTTGTTGTGGTTGTTGTGGTTGTTGTTGTTGTGGTGGTGGTGGTTGTTGTTGTTGTTACCCACAAAGGAGACCAACCCCGTCTAGCTAAGTCTAAGACCGCCTAAGTGCCGTCAACGGGTTGAAGCTCAGTGGCTGAAGTCCTGAACCCCCAACTCAACATACGATTTTCTGGCGCCTCAGACCGGATGGCTCGCTGTTGCCTCGCTATGTTTCCTTCTATCACCGTGCCAAAGAGGAGTTCAGACTAATGATTTGCTTTTGAACATGTCCCAAGGGTGTGTCTAGTACTAAAGGCATCTCGCAGCATGCGCAGCATGCGCAGTACAGGTGTTGCCGTGTTTTGACGGGCCAAACTGATCTCCATGAAAAATTCTTGGCGCTGGATGTGTGGGCAAAGGTGGCAAGCGCTTAGCAAAGCGCTTGTGACCCACGAAGACCAGTCGGTTTCCTCGGATAACAGCTTGCTGACTTGGCCCCCAACTTCCACCAAGGAAGGGGAACTACTGATGGACAAAATTCTGCACCTAAGAAACCCTTCTGATTTGATTCCCCTATAAATTCCTGACAAATACTGGTTTTCCATGGAGTCAACGTGGTGCAGGATTTCGTCCATCCACAGTAGGTCCTCCAGTAGAGAGCTTAGAACAAGGGTGCCCGATTTGTTCTCGGTACTCTATTTTTCGTAGGGGAACCCTTCCAACCAAAAAAAGTTAGTAGAGAATGGCACCTAGCTGGGGGACATAGGGAAACACAACCCCCGGCGACCCTTCGGCAACTCGGCGAATCGGAGCTCTCGTCGGATGCGCCTGGGGTACCGACCAAGCAGTGACAGCCCTTGGCCAGGTCTCGGCCCTGCTCGCGCTTGTTCTGGCCCCCGTAGACGCACACCGTGACGATGCCGCAGTGTTTGCCTCGACCAAAAAATCGCCCCAGCGGAATTGTGTTGTTCTTGAGCTTGGTCTTTTTTGGGGTACACGGCAGATCACATTCTAACTACTGTGTGCTGTCCCTCAAATATAACATAGCTTTGGAAGAGATCCTTAGAACCCAGTGATTCCGGTTCCACGTGTAGGTAACCTGCAAAGACTAAAGAGAAAATGGCTGCTTACTACAATGGACACTGGGACGCACTGGATGTGCGAACTCCAAATATTCACTTTAAGGAATGCAGGAAGCTGGGTGAAGCGGGGGGAAGCAGGGATTATTGGCTGAAACCAGCTTTGCTCGAAACACCTTTGGGAAATGGAACACCACCTAAGGGAACACCAGGATTATTTTTGAGACCTCTAATTGAGGAGTTGGAGGGGTCTGACCTGCTTCTACCAGCCATGCAAATTCTCGCAGTCCCAGACCAAATGACTTTTTGCACCAGGCAATTGGTGGCTTGGATTGGTGGTTTAGTGGTTCATGGATGGTTTCACATCTTCCCTCCGCAACAACCTACCAATAATTGTGTCAGTCGCTCAGGTGTACTTGGGGGTTGCATTTCCCTCCTGAGCAGCTCACCATTTGAGTTGGACAAATCCTTCTAAAGGGCCTTGGCAACGAACACCAATCTTATGCCCATGAAACCTATACCGTGTTCTTTTTGCTTTTCAAAACAAACACCAAAAGGGTTTTATAAGAACCAAGAACAATGCAAGAATCCCACCGAGCAAAGCAACCTGTTGCCATTTTTTCTCCAAGTGTCCGAACTTGTGGGCCTCGTTCTCCACTTGGACTGCCAGTTCGCGCGTGGGGGACAGGCACAGCAGCGTGGGATCGTCTGCCCTGGCCTTCGTCTCGATGATGTACCTCGCCCAAAAAACCAGTGGGAAAATATGCCTGGCTAGGTCCTCCAGTAGAGAGAGGGTACCCTCTTTTTTCTGCAGTCTATTTAATATTGGGGGAACCCTCCCAAAGAAAGGGCACTACTAGGGGACCTAGCATGGCGTCGCCTCAACACACGTGCCTAGATGGTAAAAAGGACACTTGGCGTGGTTTGGCCAAGAAATGCAATGCCTCCCCGCCATAGAAAAAGCACACACACAGACACTTTCGGATGCCTCCAAAGAAGATATCAGGGTAGACCTTGGTCAGTTTTGGGGGAAGCCGTTCACCAAATATATACCTAAACGTGTTTTTGCCGTGCTCAGGCTCAGAGCACTGACCACTTCATGGCTTAGCCAAAGGGAAACCACCGCCTTGGACGATGCATTTGTCTAAGGTGCAAGTAGTCAGTCTACGGACCATTGGTTGGTGACATGAAGCCAAAGGGAAACCAACCCTTTAGGGACACCTCTTTGATTGAAATGAGCTAGTAGAGCACATTTGTCAAACACTCTTGAACCTGCAAAATCCCAGGCCGAACTTCGTCACTAAAATTCAAGATTTGTCTCATAGGGGTGAGCATGGGTGGTGTCCTGGTTCCGTTTCAAACTCTAAAAGGCGTAGCTTCTAAGGCCACATGTCCAAGTGTGGAGGGTATATGGGCGTGTTGCTTCAAGCATCACTTCTCCGAACAGGGTTTACTCTCTTTCTCCTTCGAAGTTTGAGACCACCAAAAGGGGACATTAAGTGACCCCTGCCCAAACACACCGCCGCGCCAAGCACGCACCCCGGGGAAGGCAAAAGTGGAGTCGGACAAGTGGCTCGTGTGGTTGCCGTCTTGGAAACAGTGAAACCCAAATGAGGGGAATTGTGCGATCTACTTCCCCAAGTGTAGGTTTGAAGTTGAAGAGCCCGTATTTCACCCATGGTTTGTGGCTTTGCAATATTCAGGGACTCTGCAAGAATAGCTCTGTCACCTTCCTAAGACCCTGGAAACAAAAGGTTCAGCGTGACCCAGGCTGAACATGAAACACAAGTGGAAAGCCAACAGGTTGGTTTCCTGCTAGTTGCCAAAAAAACCAACCCAAGCGCACGTGTACGCTACCCCTAAACCACCAGCCCAAGTCGTCAAATGGAACACACAACCACGACACAGCCACCATATTATTGAACGGACAGGGCTCCCTAGATTTCGCCAGAATAAGCATCACCACTGGAGAACTCATCTTTGTTCAAACAGGTGACTTTTAAGGCCACAAAAAAGGGATATATATATATATATGGGATGTCGTTTGTTTGAGGGTACTTGTTCTTCTTCTTTTCGAACGGAACATCAAAGGAAACCCATCAATTTGGGGGGTCCCCCGAAAACAAGACGCACTCAAATGTAGGACTCGACCCCTGAAAAAAGCACACCCCCATCCCAAAAAAGTTCGCCATCGCCGGGCCGCTGGAAGGCCGGGAACAAGAAGGCGATGGTCTTCCCACTCCCGGTGGTGGCGATGCCAATGATGTCCTGCGTCGGGCTGAAATCTCAAAACCGTCCACCGATGTGTTCCAACTTGCGTCTAGGCCAAAGGTAAGAAATGTAATGTAGTCCCATCTTGAAGTGCCTTCAAATTGGTTGGTTCGATAGGTAGGGACTCTAAGGTTTCAGGAGTGAACCGGAAGGGGATCGCCCGAAGCAAAAAAGGGATTGTTTATATGGTCATTCATTCCCTCATTGAGGAACTACTTCCCAAATACCAAGTGATGAAGGATGTCAATAGCTGATTTTCGGATGTATCCTTTTAGAAAGTCATGGTTGCGGAAAAGGTGTCGTTCTGTGATGCCAAAGTGGTGAAAGACTTGATTCCCATGACTATATGTCACTTACTGCTGGGGTTTTCCTTGGCTCACAGAAAATGGCGACCTCAACCCCCAAGTCTCTGGAAAACATCCTGGCCAGATCTAGACTCCCTTTTTTCAAAAAGTCGACTTGCTGGTTGAAAAGAAGAATCCATGATACCGAAAAGAGCAAAAGGACAAATCTTTTATCTGGGACTTTAAAAGGCAGTCGGATGCTTCTAGAAGAAAAGGTCACAATTGGTATGGAGGTGCCGATTGATTCCCAGAAATTTGGGAAGAATGTGTCCACAGAAGACATGCTCGTTAGGATATGAGTCATATACGAGGTTGGTGGACCTGTTGGTGGGCCAAGGAGTTACCAGGTCAACATACCCACCAAGTCTTTGTGTTAGAGGAAACTTGTGCTCCAGGCAATTCTACCGTTGATAGTGTCCACCAGCATCGGCTAGGGTGATACCACTGACTTGATGTATGCCCTGGTTCTCCTTGGGAAAACCGGGTGGTCGTCTCATGCTTTTTGTAGGAAATTGGGGTTGTTCTATGACTCCTCCGTGATCCAAAGTAAAATCAGCCTTCGGCCAGAGCCCCCCCCCATGTCCTCCCCAGCAGTAGACCAACATAAATCCATCCACAAGCCTGTTCCCAATCTGAGGCTGAGATGCGCCATATTAATGATCCTGATTCTCTTCAGCAACCCTGTGGTCAACGGGTTGTTCAAGTCAAGTGGCTGTGACAAAAGTATGGGGGCCTTTTGGGCTAGGCTTCGAAGGAAACCAGCCTGGCACAGAGACATTGCCCCATTTGTCATGTTCAATTACGCCGCATGAATTTCAGCTGTTGCTCACGCAATTTGAACGAACGGGGTCCATTAAAAGTGACATCCTTCAAGTCAAATCTCGACGACCGCTCCACAGATCGATGGCTCCTTGCCCTGAACCGCCAGCGGCCAGGAATACATCTGGATGGGGCTGGGCTTGGCAAAGCCACAGCGCTTCACCTGGCACAATACACATGTGCGTGCGGGTGTGCATGCGTGCGTGCGTGCGTGCGTGGGTGCGTGGGTGCATGGGCGCGTGGGTGCGTGGGCGCGTGGGTGCGTGGGTGTGTGGGTGTGTGTGTGTGTGTATTTTTCTTCTTTCCCCCCCCCCCCCCCGAGGAAACCTTTTTTAGGTTTGGTTTAGCAGGAAACCACAAGGAACCACCACCATTTGCTGGGCTCCCCAATTTGAAACATAAACACCGGAATGGGCGTTTCTCACAGCGGCCCCCTTTTGGGATGGTCTTAGGACACCAAGGGAGCAATCAATAAGAATCCTTTGCAGAACCAGCGGGTTGTACAGACAAACACATTCTCCACAAACCAACCAGCATGACCCCGGGGGAACTGTAGCTGGGGAAGGGCTGGGCTCCAAAAGCTTTGGGCTGTTGGGGCCTGGGACTTGCTTGAGTTGAAAGGGGAACCCTTACCCAAAAAAAAGGAGAAAGGGGCACCTGGGGAACAGAGTTCTTAACAGAGTCCTTCAAAAGGCGAGCAGGCCATGAGCTCATGGGCTAGCTGGGTACCTGATCGGTGCACGTTAACTTTAGATTGGTTGGACCCACATGGGTTTGTTATCGGGATTCCTTGGGTTTCGGTTCTAAAACAGACCCTTTAAGGGCATCAATCACACTCCCATCTGGTTTTGTCGTTTGTGGGAATTTTGACGCTTCTGAAAGGGCGACACCCACACACACAACAAAACGCACACGCATGCAAGTGAGCCGCACTTTGTGGTCCTCTTTTGCCAAACGGAACAGCTGTGTTCCAAAGGGGTCTGTGCACCATCCGATTTGTTCCATGTTACGGTGGTGTAAACATGAAACACAAAAAACACTCGGAAGATGTTCACTGGTGTACCCAGCCAAGAAGGCCTTACGGCTTTTCGGTTGGCTCTGGAGGCTTCCAAAAGCCCTTGATGAGTTGGACATTCTGAGAGGAACCCAAAGGTCCAACTTGATTTCCGCAAGAGCAGAAGGCCTTACCGGGCCTTACCGGCCTAAGCCGAAGGCTTGCAGATACCCCCATCCAGATATGAAACTTGGGGGGACCTTGGGAGCTTGTTGGAATCCTCTGGTTGAGCAATGCTTTCTGATATTTGCCCCCTGGTTTTAACAGGGAAACCAAGAGGAAGCTTTGAGAAACTCACTTTGGAGATGCTAAGAAAAGGCTTGTAACAGGGTTGGGCCAACTATTGGGGCCAACAGGAGATTGTTTAAGCAATATGTGTTTCAAGGCATTGACCAGGGGATTGCTCCAACCCTCCCCCGTGAGTCTAGAAACTCATCCCATACCTTCGCCCCCTTTGAAGGCATCTTGACCGGACAAAATCATTGGGTGACACCAACTGGGTTCTGACAAAAGGCCTTGAAACTTGGCCATGGGCTTGTGCCTTCGAGCGTATGGAAACCACCAGGAGCACCGCCCAGGTCATGCGAATCCCTTCCATTTGCTTAAGCCCCCTGGAGGAAAAAAACAAACAAACAAATATGTTCAGTTATGATAGATTCCCTTTAAAACCAGCAAGGGAAAATACAAACTGTTCTTAAGCAAATGGATGCCAATTTTGACACCTTCCTGTTGTGCCCAAAAAGCGCCTCCTCCTTGATCTCCGGGGGGAAGGGGCACTCATCGAAGGTGTTGAAGGCGGCGGGCGGCACACTCTGCCCCTCCGGATCCAGGATCATGATCTCCCTCACAGCGGCAACTTGTGGCGTGAGCGAAAACAACCGCCCCCTGGTTTAGCCATGGTTCAGTTTGCTGGATCCCAGTAGCCAATAGTTTTGGCTGAAGGGGCCGCAATCATTTGGAAACCACCAACAAGGGTGGCTCAGTTTGGGGTTATAACTCATTCCTCCAAAAAGTTGGCTTTTACAGGGTTGCTTGACAAGTGGGGGTAACTGGGGAAGTCCCCTTACAACCCGGGTTACAACCTACAAAATTGAACATCCAACCAGTTGGGATTGCAGACCGTATCGCAAACAGTGGCCCTACCCAACTCCCGTTGCTTTGGAGAACTTGTTTGCTTGGAGCCTGCAAAACAACCTGGCTTTCCGTCCCCTACCTTTCATCTATATATGGGTTCTGATGGCTCCGCAAAAAAAACCAACAAACAAAAACTGGCGTAAACAGTGTTTTGGGCGCTGCTCTGGTGTTTACAAGGTTAGGATAAGGATGTTTGTTGCAAATCGAGTGTGGAACTTCACAGGACGGAAGCATGATTAGAGTTAGGCCCAGTTATAGAATGTATATCTTTTTGTTTGCTTCACTTTGAGTCAATGGTAAAATGTAACATGTATCCTAAGTCTACCCCAGGAAGATGCATGTTCATTGTCTTTGAGTCTCGCTGCTTTTGCGGCAGTGAGTCACGACAAAACCGCAAGAACGCTCCTGGAAGAAACGAGGCGCGTGAAGCGTTACAATGCAAAAAATGGGTTCGACCATTTTTCGGGTCAAACAAAAGACGAACCCCAAAACCACCTCATTCTGGTGTCTCAGACAAAACCTCTCAGGCAATTGCTTTCCGTGGAGGATGTGAACTCCTGACCAAGACAAGAGGCACCAGCTTGCAAAACCCGAAAGGCTCAGCATTTGCGAACAGTGGCACCAGACTCCCCTCAAACCGTTCCAATTGTCCGAAGGGGGTGTTCTACACAAAGCGGCAGCCGAGCGGCAGCCTAACTAAGACCTCCAGCCTGAAGCAAGATCCAACATTCGCATTGCCAGTCAGCTGAAAATGGTGAACACCAAGATGGCACATTGGGTTTAACGTGGCGAGGCAACAACCAAAAAGAACCCACTAGATTAGTCTGAAGCTGAACATGGTGACACTCAAGTCGGTTTTCTTGACCCAGGCAAAAAACAACAACACCAGACCTCGGTTTAATGTGGCGACGGCAACAAAAGAGAAGAACCCAAACCAGAACCTCAGCGGGCTGGGCCCTTCGGGCGGACACTTCGACAAGCAGCTCCGCGGTCGTGAGCTCCACTTCCTCCACCGGCGGCTTCTTCCGTCGCCGGCTGCGGCTCCTATCGGGGCTACACAATTGAACGTTATTCTCCTATTCGCATGACTTGATTTGGTCTTGGCCACAACCCTATTCTAAAAGCTTAGGCCCTTACAGTTCAAGGACCCATTCATCATTCCAGTAGTAACTTACCTATTCTTTCCAGCAATCCTTCGTCCCCCCTCCAAATCAAAATAATACGAACACCGCGGCTGGAAACCGCGATGATGGTTGACCTGATGGTTGAACTGGATGGAAAGGCAACTCCTAATACGAGCAGCCCGCAACCAAGTCCAACAGCGAGTGGATCCGACTGGTTTTAAAGCGCTGTATCACCATGCATCGTGTATACAAACCTTGGCATGGGCAAAGCAAAACAACACAGAATTACTTCAGCGGATTCCTAGTCAACCATTATTCGCATTTCCTCATTCGTATTTATTAGAATTCATTAGAATCATTAGAATGCTTCAGGTTCACAAGGATGATTCACTTGAACTCTCAGAACGCCTCTGCATCTAGCCTCGTGAAATGCCAGATGGCCTTAGAATGTCACCGTGTTCTCATTTTCTTATCAAAGGCTTCCTCATACATTCAGCTTCTCGGCTGACCGCTAGCTGATGCCCGAATTTTGGTCATACCTGGGCTGTCCTCAGATCCCCCGCTAAAAGTGACTAACTTTTCGTGGGTTAAATGGCAAACTTTAGTGAACGCTAAAAGGCGTTTAACAGCTAAAAGGCGAAGGAACGGGATGGCTGGGTTTGCCACCAAGAGCTAGGGGAACCCATTTTGGATGGTTTCAAAGGGAGAACGAGAACCATCTCCACCGACTGCGGGAGGCCCGGCGCTCCTCTTCCTGCTGCGGCTCCGCTTCTTCTCCCGCGAGCGGCTGCGCTTCTTCGAGCGCCGGCGGTCTCCTCGGGGATCGAGCCCGGTGCTCACAGCTTTTGGGGAAAAGAAACCCAGAGAGTCTGAATTTCAAAGGCCGTGTCTCGAATTGGGGAAAGAAACGAAATGGAGAATGTGGGCGACCAACTCCAGGGGATCCAGGCATCATGCCGAGGGAGCGAGCCTGGGCCCTTTATACTTCCCGAATCTACATAACTGTTTTGCCTTGCTACCATTTCCCCGGATGCTCTGGAGAAAAGATAGGCGTGTCTTGAAGTAGGGCAACCCACAACAGGCAGGACTGTCCTCTTGTCAAGGTTGGTCAACTCCAGATTTGGTCATGTCATGGCTTTCGCAACCCGTACATTTACGTCTAAAATCGGTGTTGACCGCAAGGGCAAGTCAAAGGGTAATTTGACTCAGATGTGTCCACTTACAAACCAACGCTCTTTAGATGCCTTGCCAGATTTTTCCATGAGGAACGGAATAGGCTTCGTCTCCAATTCGCTTTTCTAGCTTTGGATTGCTTTGTGAGCTTCATGTCCAACCTGAATTGACCAGCGATTACTCGGCAAGTAGAGCATACCTCGCGTATCATGGGTCAACACGGCTGTGAGCTATCATGGCTCCTGTAACAACCCTTACGAAGAGTTCTGGACACTCCCTGCCAAAGCGTTGAGTACCATTCTTTGTGGAATTGAAAAGGGGAACCAAGCGAAGCCATCCACTCTTTGCTTCCTTCTGGACAGACAAACACACATCATGTTTTGCCCATTCATCTTCGGACCGAGCGCAGGTGTTGCCAACCCCCGACTTCATGAGGGCCCAAACACCATTGTTCAAAACAACCGCCCGCAGGAACTCGTTTGGACCCCTCAAGACAAGGCTGCCTTGAGACCAAAAGCCAAGAATGCTTAAGACCTCTTGAGTTGCAAAGCGAACGGCATCACACGACGAACATTTCACCCTCTTGCCGTTTCACGTTCCGCAAGTGAAACCAACCATTCGGAGGGGGCCTGTGGGGTTTTTAACCCCCGCTGACACGGTACCAGGTGGCCATGAAAAACCACCTCTCACAGCCTGACAAGCTCCTTATTCCCAATATTGCATGTGCCATGGTCAACACGCCTGGTACTTAGGGTGGTGGGCTTTTCAATTTGAGAGTCTTGAGCTAGCGGAAGCAGTGGGCCAACAACAAAATTGCTCGGAGCCATCTTTCTCAGCTCCTTTGTCCTCAGCGCCCTCTGCCTGCCAGGAATCAATCGGTTTGGCCAAAGGCCATGCCAAACGAATAGCCGTATCTTGGCCCTTTGGTACAGAAAACATGCTTTTCCTATTCAATTTCATGTCTAACCCTAAGATTTAACCTAAAGTAGTTTGGTATGAACACCGGGAAGCCAGGTTTCCGAAGAGTCCTTCCAGGTCGCCTGAAAAACCGGGTCACGAGCCAACAGGGCTGATTCGGAAAGGTGGCCAGTCCTAACCCAAGAGATCTTGCGGGTCGCCTTTGGACCCAACCATCGCTCTGCCTTTCTTGGGAATCCCCTTCTTGAGGTCGCCAACAGGCAGTGAAAGCGAAACCAAAAAGTTCCATGGCGCGTCTCATGGAATGCCCAAAATGGGATTTCTTGGTCTTCCGTTGGCTTCCCTTTCAAACCGCTTGCTTGGGGCAAGAAGACACACCCACATCCCACTTAACACACCCTGTTTGAGGGGGGACCGGGTTTTCCACCGTGTAGCCTTTGTCTTCAGCGTGAACCATTTTGTCAAACCTTTCTTTTCCGCCTTGGAAGCTAGGCATGCCTTGTAAGGTTTTCAGCGCAAGGCCGCCCCCACTCCCATCATAGGAACTTCCGTATCCAAGGGAACCTCAGGCGACACGAGTAATCACAGCCTGCTCCAAAAGCGGCCTACCGAAACCCCATGGTAAATCAAACTGCTTGCCGCGGTGATTGGGCTCTTTACTCACTAGGTCCTCCAGTTGGAATAAGGGTACCATTTTTTTCGTTAGTCTATTTTAGTAGGGGAGCCCTCCCAAACCAAACAAGTCGATCAAAGTTGGCACCTAGCTGGGGGCTCTACTCACCTCCACTGAACGCCGCAAGTTCGCTTCGCGATTCCACGGGTCTCTCCAAAGTGCGCCTGCGGCGCTTCCTGCAACTCCGCCGCCATCGGCGCCCCGATGCCCGGCTCCGCGTTTTCCGGCGCCGAAGGCACGGAAGCCATGGGAGCCACGGGAGCCACGGAAGCCATGGGGTCGGGCATGGCCGGCATGGCCGGCATGGCCGGCATGGCCACCTGCATGTCCTTGGGTTGGACACGAGACGATGGCGAGCTGTTTGCTGAAGGCAAAACGCTCAAGATGAGCTGTTTGCCGGAAGGAAGACAAAGGTTGAAAACGCTCGATGATGAGCTGTTTGCCCGAAGGAATCAAGACTAACGACAGAAAATGGAGTCGCAAGACACGCCCATGATCCGACACCTCGCGATCCGAAAGCTTGACTGGAAAAACCAGCAGGTCAAACACCACCCGAAACCTGCTTAGATGATCCTTACGCACATACCCCAAGCAACATGGAGCCGCGTCGGTCGCAAAAAGAAGGTGGCCTCGTTGCGTTCAGCAACTCCGAGACTTGTGTATGACTCAGTGAGTCGGTTGAGGCTCAACAGCAACCCTTTTGACAAAGCAACAGGAATCACAAGGACACCTTGCTAGCAAACCAACATTGAATGACACCACTAAAACCAGCCCAGCACCTTTCAAGGCCATCAAATGGTTCTCTAAGTGCCTTGTTTTCTGGATGTTTGGGGCAGATCGACAGCCGGAAGCTGGCATCCTGGTCGTGCAAGCTTCGAGGAACACCGGAAGGCAACACACAAGCTTGGCCGGAACACAGAAACCCTTCCGCCACATACAACAGACGCATGCAGGACGAAACACCAGGAAAGCAACGAATCCAAGAATCCAAGAAAGATCCTGCGGACCACAACAACACCCCGAGCAACTTAGATTTTCTGCCAGAAAAACACAAAAACAAAACACAAAACACAAACCCAACCACACACAAAAAACAAAATCCTACCAGATAAAGAAAAAACACAAACCCACAAATCCAACACCACACAGCCCCAGATTCTGCGAGTTCGCTTTCGGAGCCGAGCGGCGCTGGGCATTGCCATGGGCGCCATGGCAACATCTGGCGCCGGCGCGCTGGCCTTGGCCGGCGCCGGCGCCAGGTCCCCGGCTGCGGGAGCCGCGGGAGCCGCAAGGTCCGCCTGGAGTTTTTGCCACGAGGGTTTCGTGTGGGGCCTTTACCATTGAAGCCATACCATACATATATATACATACATATATATATATATATATATAGGTTTTTGGCTTTTGAATATATATATATATATATGTACAAAACATATGCACAAATGATGTTTATATATGTATATGGATACAAAATCCATTGGTGGTTTATTCCCCAAATAGTGTTTACACTATGGGGTTCTTACGGTAAGAGTTCAGGCCGGTTTAGATCGAGGTTCGCGCTCATCTTGCTGGCCTGTGCGTAAAAAAGGTGTTTTTGGTGCGACAGTCTCGCACAGACCCTTTTTATGAAAATGCTGCGCCTGCCACTCCACGCATCCTATAGCACCAGCGCAAAACACACTGCGCCCGCCACGAAAAACGCATGTCAGTCTCACAGAAAGCTGCGCTGGCCATGGATTTCTGTGGTAACACGCAAATCCCAAAAATCGGTGCGGCGCCACAGCGAGAGCGCAGTTTTGAAGAAAGGTCCGTTTCGTGTGAAGCTCTCGCCCTCAAGACAAGTTTTGCGACAACTGCCATGGTTTTAGAGCTCCGACTGTCCCAGCGTCGTAGCCTGACCCGACAAGAAGATATCACCGCGTGGCGGCCCTGCCATCAAAAAACGCACGCAGCGGTTTCATCAAAAGTTCATCGCGCGAACCTCCCAACTGTGGCCCCTGAAAGCAAAAATGTGAACGGCACCACAGCGAGACGCACGTGCCAGCGCGAGCCTCCATTTCGTGAATTACGTGACAGGCGCAGCGTTTCACTCATTTGCAAGCGTTGCGAGACGAAAGTGAACCCTTTGCGGAGATCCTGCGTGTCGAAGCGCTCTTGGTGTGGCGCCGAACGAATGTGTCTTGCTCTCGGCGAACCCTCTGCAGAGATCCTGCGCGTCGAAGCGCCTCGCTGTGGCCCTATCCGATTTTCTGTTTTGTTTGCTTGCGAATCGGTGTTTGGAAGTTGTCTCATGGTTCGCGTGTCTGCGCTCAGGATCGCGCGTTATTGCGCGCAGTGCGCTTCCGCAGCTCCGGCACGACATTGGCAAATGGAAGTACAAGAAGTAGTGTGAGAAGCGTGCTCCCGCGCCGACAAATCGCAAGTTTTAAGTTCCAGAGGCGCGGCTGCAAAAACGTGAATTGCAGGTACAAAAGTAGTACGCGAAGTGCACTCCCGCAGCTCCGGCTGACAAATCGCAAGTTTTAAGTAACGTTAAGGTAGTACGTGAAGAGCGTTTCCAGAGGCGCGGCTGCGAAATCGCAAGCTGTAAGTACAAAAGTTAGCACGCGAAGTGCGCTCCCGCAGCGCTTCGGCTGAAAATTCGCAAGTGTTAAGTGCAAAAGTACGTGAAGAGCTTTCAGAGAGCTCCGGCTGCAAAATCGCAACTTTTAAGTGCAAAAATGGGTGCGCGAAGTGCGTTCCCATGGCTCCGGCCAAAATTGTACGCGAAGTGCATTCCCGCAGCAGCTCCAGCTCCGGCTGCAAGGTCGTAAGTGTTATTCGTGCAAAGGTAGCGTGCGAAGCGCGCTCTCGCAGCTCCAGCTCGAACATCGCAACTTCAATTTCTAAGCGCGAATGTAATGTTCGGAAAGTGCGCAGCATCATGCGTGAGAGGGACCGTCACGCATAGCATCATGCGCAGCAACGTCACGCGCAGCATCGTGTGCAACATCATGCCTGCGCAGCATCATGCGCAACATCACGCGTAGCTTCACGCGCAGCAGCGTTAAAAAGACAGCGTAGCGCGCAAGAGAAGTTGACAGGACATATTTTTTCGTAGCGCGGCGCCAAGCTTGCTCATCAGAACTTGCAGAAGCCACGAAGGGACATTGATATGTTTACGCGTGTTTCTCACCTGCAGTGGAGAGGTGTCAGAGTTTATTTAACGCCTTTCTATGCATCCAGGCCACCCGTCGTCAAATTCAACCCAATACTATTTGGGGTCTCTTGCCCAAGCTGAACATCAGACACCGATAGGGGACTATGAACCGCTAGCCCGGCAGTCCCCGTTGCTTATATGGGATCCAGTTTCAGCAGTCTCATGTCCGGAGCCTGGCTCACGCATGATGTAGAACCCGGCAGAATTCAGAAAGCTTCGGCGTGCTTGGCGGACTCGCACATTAAGGAAAGAACACAAATGAAGGATGCTTTCCAGGGAGACAGGGTGCCGGTGCTCCCCTCAAGATTCATAAGCCCCTCGTTAAACGGAGGGGCGTTGCTTTGTACTAGGGACTGCTCACTTCCCCACAAATAATGTCTAGTTTGATTAATCTGGGGTCAACATTGGCCCCCCCCCATCATGAACCAGGGTCCCTGTCTCCAAGAGCGCACTCGCCGCTGAACGGGACCTCCTTAAGATCTAGGGGTTGGCTACTGTTTCAAAGCGACAAAGCTGGAATTGTCAACTTGAATATGTATCTCGAACTGAAACACTGAATCGCTGCTTCGTACTTCGTACAGCTTTATGGTTGCAGACCAAAACACCCCGGGTACCAATACGCGTATTTGACCACTTCACAGGAGATTCCCTTGGTATCACCAAAAGTGGCCCTAACACCCAATGTTGCACAACCACAGCGAACCGCCAGCGAAGAAGCGACGCGGACTTGTTCCGAGCCTCCTCTACTGGTACCTCGGAGAGCACCCCGAGTTTGTTGCCTTGAGAGTGTCCTTTTTGGGTTGGAGGGAAACACCAGGAACTTCGACATGATTTTGTTGTGTATTCCTAGAGGCCTCATGCATTCGCACCCCTGCACCAGCTCAGTCCAATTTCAGCTTGACGTCCTCGCATTTCAGTTGGCAGAATGCTGCAGGGCGTGCAGCCATCTGCATCCTTTAAGGCACTCCAACTCTCCACCACGGGTTACGGCACTCCGACTCAGGGTTCCACTTTCAACAAACTGTGCTTGCATAAGGCTCATTCACGGCTGCTCCTCGCCTTCAAAAAGCAGCGAATGGCTGGCCCTGTTTGGTGTCCCATTTAATCGACTCCAATTCGAAGGCTCCGGCTCGCCTCAGCAAGGAACCCCTGAGATAAACACATGAACCCCTCCGACTTGCTGCTCCGCCACATCTTCGTCCTCGTCTTCATCCCAATCCTCCGAATCCTGGCGTTGCAACGAACGGATTCTGAATCCGAGATGCAAAGCCAGGCCCGCAGCCCTCACCCGGGCTGCAAGGCAAACGGGGGGCCAAGCACGCCCCAAGGACTGCTGGGGCAGGTGGGTTTGGGGCATAGAAAGCCGGTTCACAACAGGAGCAAGGACCTGGGCAAGGCATGTGAGACAGAAATGGAGCGCCAACCGCGACAAAGTGCGAGAGCAAGAGGTCAGCGCACAAAAAGACAAAGCACAACGGCCCAAGGGAAACAGACACCCGTGAAATTTTGAACCAAGCTCACCAATGGAACCAGGCCTCCTCATCGTCATCTTCGTCCTCGTCGTCCCAGTCAAAGTTCTCCCAGTCCTTGGAGTGTCACATGCACCAAACAAGCAAGACATGCCGGCTTTCCTGTTGGCTTCCCTTCAACACGGACAAACAGGCCAGTCAGTTTTTCAGGACCTCTGGCTGTGCCCTTGTTGAAACCAAACTACCGTCCCGCAAACTAACTTGGGCGCCCCCCAAAAAATCCCAGCGCAGAGTTGCATCACCGGGAAATCCCCTGACAGTGGCTTCGCTTCCGATTCAGGACGGAAGGTCGCTTCCCTAGCCCAATCAATGACCAACTTACAACTGTAGGGTTTCCTCTGAAAAGTTGGGTCGCAGTTCGAGTTTTGAAACCCACCCAATCAATTCGAGGCTCGTCGTCATCCTCCTCCTCCAACAGAGTCTTGTCGCCTTCCCCTTCCAGCGCGCTGAAATCCAGCTTTGCCTTGCGGATCCAATGGTTGGGGAAAACAAGGCGATACCAAACCGAGGCCATCGAAACCTCATGACCAAAAAAAAACCAAAAAAAAAACCAGCCGAATATATGCAAACACGACATAGAAAGAACAATCACGTCTCGAATGCTGTTCATCTCTGATGCCCCTTGCTCACTTGGGTCCATTTAATGGGGGACAACATGTGGAGTTTGATTCAGTGCAAGGGGAAAGACAAGGGTCATACCACTTGGCTCCCCGGAGTTGGCTGTGAATCAGTGCAAATTCCCTGAAGGTTTGAGAAGCCCTCAAACCAAACCAAAACCAAACCACTGGAATGGATCCACAAGGGGTACCCTTTGGTCGGCTCCAATCAAAAGACAGTCGCGGGAGGTCTAAAGACGAACCAGGAACTCAACTATCTGAGGGTCATGGTGGTCCTGTTGGAGCCCAGCCCCAACCCCGGGGGCACCTAGAAGCATCACCCCTGAAGGGAACTTAATTCATGGCCGCCCGTAGGGAAACAGAGCTGGACAAGTAACCTGCCCACAGTGGGGTTGTCTCATAGGGGAACACCTTTGTCTGCTTTGTCATTTTTTCATTGTGGGGGAGGGGGTTGTCCCTTTGGTTTCCCTTTCAATCCATCCCAAAAAGATACCCACATGAGCTCTTTATCAATGCCCTCAACAAATATCCACATGATGCCACAAGAACACATAATTACCCTCAAACAAATCCCACCCCTCCAAATGTTTGGCTTCCACAGGCCCCAACCTCAGCACCCAAAACCCCCCCACTCCATCCGAGTGGCCTCCTCCGCCTCGGCCTTCACACTGATCTTGCGGCCAGCCAGGTCCGTCTGAAGCGGGCTCGTTCTGGTTTTCGTGTGACCGTTTTTGGGCCAAGGGAAGCCAAAAGGAATACCGAAAAAAAAATGCTTTCTGTGTGTGTGTGTGTGTGTGTGTGTGTGTGTGTTTTTGTTCTTCTTTGTTCTTTTCTTTTCGGAAGGGGGAGGGGGGCGGCCTAAAATTATTGATAATCCCATCTGACCACGAATTTTAAGAGTTGGAACCACCACAAAACTGGCCAGCTTGATGTCCACCAGAAGGTCTAGGGACCATTCCATGGTCAAAACGCAAGGTCATGCGCCATGGCTCCCTGCAAATGGCATTCGTTGCACTGGCCATGGCACAAACGAGCCATTCTTCACCGTCCCCCTTTGACACGGGGTACCCAATGTCGTCCCCTTTACAGCTGATGACAGTCAAAACTGACCCTTGCTCACACGGGGCCAGATGTACGTTACAGACTGAGTAGAAGGGAATGTTGTCATATACCCCTGCGGGTGTATCTCAAACGGCTCCAAAAGGGACAAGCCATAGCTTGCCCGATCCCTCGATGCCAGGGACCCGAAAGGTGCAAAAAGGGGCCCTTGACCTCTGGGGTTCGCCATTTGTTGCAAGTTCTAGACCCCTAGGCCCCTAGGGTTGACAATTCTCACGCAATACACTTCAAAAACAAGGGGAAACGGGTACTACCGAACAACTCAGAACTGAAAACAATAACTTCTATTCTAAATTTCCGAGGCTTTGGGCGCTCGTTGAAACACCGGCACCGGTGTGTTGTAACACTGGCACCGGTGCAGTGTGTAGGTTCGGCACATTCCCGTTTTCAACGGTGCAAATCGCGGTTGCAACTTAAACTAGGTCCTCCAGTGGAGAGGATATAACAAGGGTACCAACTTTTTTTTGTGTAGTCTATTTTAGTAGGCCCTCCCCTAAAAAAGTTGCTAAAAGTTGGCACCTAGCTGGGGGACCTACTAAAGAATGACCTGTCCACCTTGTTCGCTTGGCAGGTCTGCTTGCAACAAAAAGCGCCTCGTCCATCGTGGCGACGGCCTTTTGTTGTGCCTCCTCCGTGGCAAAAACCACCAAACCTGGACAGCGGGCAACTCCAGAGCATCCAGTTTCCCCGAAACGGCAATATGAGTCATAATCAAAACCCGGCACAAGAATGGTTGACCCAGAACCATGTAAAGAACTAAGCAGGCGGCCGCAGCTATCTATGGCTGGGATCGTCCCTTGCGAACCTTCACTTGCCCGGGTTTTGATTGTGGCTCATATGGGTATGGGTTGGAATGAGGAACCCCTGAGGAGTGTTTTGGTGGACACCAATCCCATCTAAATGATGTCCACCAAATGCCAAAGGGTCCCCAATTGGAAATTCATACCCATATGCAAAATCTAGAGGATACAAATCCTGGTTGCCAGTGGAAACTTGGGTAACTGGATCCTCCTGGAATGGAGCCAGGCAACGAAGCCGCTCTTCTTTCCACAAGGGCGTTCCTCTCAGTCTACGACATGTGCGTCACAATCAACACCTGGTACAAAAATGGTCGACCCACAACCATGTAAAGAATTAAGAAGGCGGCCGCAGCTATTTATGGCTGGGATTCTCCCTTACTACCCTCCAATTACCCGGGTTTTGATCGGTTTTGATTGTGGCTCATGTGAAATACGCACCGGGAGTGACAAAGAGTGACATATCGTGCGACCAATGTGAGTGCATCTTTGCGTGAGTGAGGGATTTTGCAAGGTGACCCCACTCCACAACTTTTCGGAACGATGTTTATTTTCATGAGCCTCCAACTTCTGGGACGCAATTGCGCTGCCATTTTCGTTGGAGAAGGTGGACCTACTTTGGTGCTGCTCAAAATAGCTCCCCCAGAACCCCGGAAAGGAACTTGCGTTCTTGTGCGGTTTCAATGGGAGCCACCAAAATGGGCGGCACCACCCAGGCTTACCTATTTAGATACTTTGGGGGGAACCGGCTTTTCAGTTCCCCTTTGGTTGTAACGAAATCACCCAGACAATACCTGGTTTATTTTACCACATTTCCAAATAAACCCGTCTCCCTTTAACGGGTTAAACGGGTTCCATGTCTCCCTTCAACTTTTGTTTTTATTTCGCGGGAGACATGGCACATACCACATTTGGGTTGAGTCGCTCGAGTCGCCCCCCTCGCGCGTGACTCGACTCCGGACTGACTCGGCTCGCGCCTGTGCCACGGGGTTTGCCCTTGGACCGGCCCTTGCCGCTGACCAGCACCTGGCGGGTGGAAGCCGAAGGGGCCCCCCCCAACTCACCCCCGCCCTCGACCCAGAGGCCTGCCGGAGCCTCGAAAGATGGACACCAGAGATGCCAAAAGGCTTCAAAGGGTCGGCTTTGGGCAAGTTAGAAACACCATGAACACCCTTCTTGTGTTTGTTCGTCAAAAATAATAATTACAAAAACAAGACACTTTCCCACTGATTCGTTCTGCGACCCTGCCACTGGCCAAAGGGCTAACCACCCACTGGTGTTGTTCTGTGTTGTCTGTTTGCTTCTTTCATCTTGCTTGTTTTATTGTTAACTAGCCACCAACCGTTCCTTTTTGAACGGGTGCAGGATTTTTGGAATGTGCCCAGCTGATTCTATCTGCAGCCACCAATGGCACTAAACCAATTTCTTTCTTTGTCCTGGCTTCTTGCAAGTTGCTTGTCTCATTCTTTACCTTTAACCCCCCCTCCTTCGTGTATCTTGCGAGTTGTTTGCTTCATTCGTTACCTTTAACCACCACCACCCCTATTTTTGGTTTGGCTTCTTGCAATTTGTTTGTTCCCCCCTATTTTCGGTTTCCTTGCAAAGCGGTCGCTGACCCCCCGCTCGCCTTGCAGGCCACCACCTCTCCGCAGGGCTCGAAGGCCTGCTTCAGCATCCTGGGATCGGGATCGGAGCTGGGTCGAGAATCGGAAGGCCCAAAATGGGCTGCCCTTTTCGCGGATTAGACTTCGGCCCAGGTATAGAATGTATATCTTATTCCTTGCTTCAGTTTGAGACACTGGTAAAGTGTAACATGTATCCGAAGTCTACCCCAGTTTAAATGGAACCAAGGACTAAAACCTGCGGTCCAATTCCTGGTTAAATTTTGACCCATACCCAGATGGGCGACGGCGATTGCAACTCGGGACGCGGCGAAACCAAGCCGCCTGATTTCGGCGCCCGTGGAGAGAAAAGATCGCTGGGGTTCCGAGCCCCGACTTTTTCTTCTCCACCCATACCTTGAACACCCAAAAGGGTGTGTGTGTCTTATATAACCGAAATTTGCAACCTGCTTGAGCTGGTCGACCATGAAAGCACTCCAACTGCCCGGCAACTAGAAACCCAGATGCTTCCTATCGTGGATTACCTCTGGACATCACCTTTTTAGCATCAGAATTGGGGGGATGTTTCAACCATGGTTTGAAATCCAGAGGAAACTTTCACCAAAAGGTCTCCCTCAAAGAGGGCCAGCGATTTGCCTAAATACTTTCCAACAGTTGGGGCTTGGCTCTGGGGATCCTGTTTCTCCCCTTTGTTCTTTCGGGTGGCTTGCCAGATCAGGGCTTCGAAAGGGTGCTGGTGACCTTCGATTGGCGCTCCCGATCCCAAACTACTTTGGGGGCGAGGAGGGGGCATTCGGAATCTTGTCCCCAAAAGAGTCACGAAAGCGACCTACCCTGCTCCATTTGGTTGGGAGTCCCCTCCTACCCGTCATCTACCTGCGTTTTCATTTTCCCTCGCGTACCATGTGCTGCCGAGCTACGTCTCGTCGACCTCAGCCCCAAGTGCTTTTCTGGACTATCGGCGTTGGTGTGGAGGCACTCTGTCCAAGTGGTGGTGGTGGGGGGGGGGGAATAATTCCAATTTTGGCGCAAGAAACCCCAAAGGGGTACCCTCAAAAAGAAGTACCCCATGTAACCCAATCATCATTTCCCAGCTATTTGGATCCGGCATGAAACCAACAGGCAATTGACTGGCTTTGACATACTCCAACCTTGCACCCGGTTGTTGAAAATAACGCTTTCTTAGAAGTAATAAGTCTGAAGCAGCCAACATGACGACTTTCTCACGCTAAGGAGATTCCAATTGTCTAGGTTCGTCAAAGTGAAATCCTCAAAATTGGACTCTGATTTGCGGTTTAAGGGAGAACAACGAGCAAATTTTGAGAACCCTCAAAGTGTTCACCTTCTTGGATCCAGCTGCCCAAAACACAACTCATTGTTCCCACTACCTCCTTGGCTTTGCCTTCCAAGAGCACAGGGTCTGGCTGTCGAAGGGTATAAAAGCGAGGGGAATGTCCGAAACAAATGGATTCCCCTTGGCTTCTCTGAGTTTTTACTGGGCTGCCCTCAGATCCCCCTCTGAAAGTTTAACTTTCAGTGGGTGAAATGGAAACTACCGCTAAACCTCAAAGGCTAAAAAGCTAAGGGGATGGCTGGGAGCCACCTAGTCTACATATCCACACATGTTCAAAGGGTGGCAGGCCTATTGCCACACTGGCGGGGGGTGGCGCCAGGTCTTCATGGCTCCAGTCTGTTGACCCCTCCGCCCCTTCGCCAGGCCGCATGGTCGCTGAGCCCCGTCACCCGCACGGTGGGCCCGTCCGGCAGCTTCTCTTTCTTCTCGCGGCGCCCGCGGCCACGCCCGCGGCCTCGAGAAGACATGGTCAGCTCGCCAAGAGGCAGACACACCGAAAGCATCCATTTCAGCCGCGGGCGGTGGCAACTCACGGTAAAACAAGCAAAGACACTACACCAGGGTGAAAGTAGATCATTCCCTTCTATGTGAAAGTGAAGGAGATGACTAAACCATATTCAGGCAAGTCTGCCAACTACTTTCACGCAAACTGTGACTTCAGGTCTCTGAATAGTAGTTTGTCCACACTCCAAATACCGCAAGGGGTACATGTCGAAAACCAGGTTTTGCTTACATCCGTGTTTGGATGGTTGATATACCTGCAGGAGAGAGCTAAACCTGCCATCACAAAGGCTGGGCTTTTCTGCGTTCACTCGAAGATGAACCGGGCTCGAACTCGACTCTGTGACCCACTGATGCTATGGTTGTCAAGGGCCCCACAATGGAGCTGATAGCGACTAATGCCTCTCAGGTCCCTTTTGGGTGTTCTTTTTTTTTTTTTTGGGGGGGGCCTCTTTGAGGGGCCCTTGACAATATTCTCATGTGTGTGTACACACACACATATATGTATATATATATATATATATACATAATATGTGGGTGTCTTTTCCTAGGTGAACGCTCCAAATAAGGGTTTTCTGTTTGGTTCCCCTTCCAAAAAGAGGGTACCAACTTCAAAAAACACAGACCCATGTTGTATATAATATGTATATATATATATATATTATTTACACACACTCACTCAACTTCTCGTGCGCCTTCCCTTCAAGAGCCCTGCCTTTGGTCTCTTCCCCTAGCTTCTCCACGGTGATCTGGACCCCCTTGTACCAGGTCTGATGCCACTCCAGAGCTTTCTTCATCGCCTCATCGCTCTTGTACTGCACGTAGGCCTCAGTCGAATGAGTCTCCAAGTCTGAGAGACCTGTGTCAATTCTCGGGGGTGTTAAACACGCTGCAAAATACCTTTTGGCTTCCCTTTAACACCAAACAAGGGGTACCCCATTTTGGTTGCTTTCTGCTCCCCTGCGAAAAGTGAATAACTTTGAGTGGTTTAATTCGGAAACCCATTAGGTGGCAAGAAGGTTTGAAGTCCTAACATCCAAGCAAAATGCAACAAAGAAACTACCTGGATGACGACAATTTTCTATGACAATTTCCCATGCGCCTTTTCAGTTTGGTGGACTGGTCTCGGGCTTACCGCCCGAAGGGAACGATTCGCGTCATTCTCGCGGAGAACCAGCAAGTTAAAAGAGAAACAAAAGGACCCCCACGATTTTTCATTTGGGTATGATTCAACATTAAACTGGGGGAATGGTCCTTGTCTCTAATTTTCTACCCACAGCCATCCCCCCCCATTTGGACATACCACATCTGAGTACACCCTTGGACGTTGCTGCCGCCCAAAAGACCTCCCTTCATGATTCGAACCAGTAAGATGTTCTAAGTTCTGCTCCTTTTTGCGAACCCATGAAACTCAGCAACCACTTGCTTTCTTGGTTACCTCCCCCAAAGCCCAAAGCCCAAACACCCAACCCACCCACCCCAACCCAACCCACCCACCCCAACCCAACCCAACCCCCCCTCCTCCCACAAACCCCAAACACACAACCCACCCACACCCCTCCCCCAACCCCGCCCCACCCCCAACCTATCCCCCCATCCCCCATCCCCCCCTTCATCCCCCACAGCCCCCGCTTCACCCCTCCCTCCTAGTTTTTATCCCTCCGACTCACTCAACAAAGGCCGCTTCGGCCGCGGGGCGAAGCCCTTGCCCTTGCCCTCGCCATCCATCGGCATGGACGCGCGCCGCAGCGGCCCGCAGTCCCCGAAGTCCTGGCGCAGCTGGGCCTCGCCCAGCCAGTCCGGCAAGCCCCGCACCACCTGAGGCGCCCAGGAGCCGGCCCAGCCGTTGTTTTTCTCCTTTTTTCCAAACCCAACCGAAAACACAAAGCTTTTTCTGGGATATTAAGAAAGAGAGAAGAGAAAAAAGGTCCTCATTTCTTTTTCTAAGCACAGAACATTGCAAACCCAAACGCCTTGCCTTTAACCACTTGACGGGGTGAACGAAAGCTAGCTTCTGCACCATGAGAGGGGCCAGAAAGATTCTCAGCATGCTACACCGCACATTGAACCTTTAACCAAAACACAAAGTGCTTCTGGGATCAGGCAAAACGTCCGCGAAAAGCCGCTCGCAGGAGAATTGGTACAGCGATTGGTGGCTTGTGGGACCTGAATCACCCCTTTTAAACCTAGACGAAAGATGTACCCTCAGCAATGACGACGACGACATGAACAACGACAACACCGATATTAATGAATCAACATATTTAGTTTTATCTGTTTCATTTGTTAATTCACCAAACAAATTATTTGATATTCCTAATAATATATTTTATAATAAAAAAACACACATATAAAAATCAAGTTTCTTGTTTGAGTGTGAACATATATATATATATATATATGTGTGTAGGCTCCTGGGACGAGTACTTCAGCGACTCTTCAGTGGCGTGTTGAGGTCGCTGTCGATAGGAAAGGCAGTGTCTTGTAAGAAAGGACAAGGGCGGAAACATCCTTTAGGAGATGAGGCAATGATGTCGATGCGATCCGTTAGGATACGACACCAGCTACAAGGGATTCGAGTCACACTACGCGGAGCCATGCTTTGGCTACCCACTACTGCGAGAGTTATCCTGGCAGTTTGTTCCTTGGTGTCTTTAGACTGCTCACCACAACAATGACCACAACGACAACAACGACAACAATGACAACGACGACATCGACGACAAACACGACAACGACAACAACGCCAACGACGACATCGACGACAAACACGACAACGACAACGAGAACAACGCCAACGACGACAACGACAACAATGACAAGGACGACGACAACAACAACAACAACAACAACAACCACAACAACAACAACAACAACAACAACAACAACAACAACAACAACAACAACAACGACAACGACAACGACAACGACAACGACAACGACAACGACAACGACAACGACAACGACAACGACAACGACAACGACGACGACGACGACGACGACAACCACAACAACAATAACAATAACAACAACAACAACAACAACAACAACAACAACAACAACAACAACAACAACAACAACGACGACAACAACGACAACAACGACCACCACCACCACCAACAACCAATACCACCACCAACAACAACAAGCAACAAGAGCAAGAGCAAGTGCAAGAGCAAGAGCAAGAGCAAGAACCAGAACAAGAACAAGAACAACAGCAACAGCAACAGCAACAGCAACAGCAACAGCAACAGCAACAGCAACAGCAACAACAACAACAACAACAGCAGCAGCAACAAACAGCAGCAACAGCAGCAACAACACCAGCACCACCAGCAGCAGCAGCAGCAGCAGCAGCAGCAGCAGCAGCAGCAGCACCAGCAGCACCACCGACGATAACAACAAAAACAACCAACACCACAACGACAACCACAACGACAACCACAACGACGACGATGAGGACGGGAATGACGACGCGGACGACAACGACAACGACGACAACAAAAGAGATGCCACCGGGCAGCCACGGTGAAGTCATCGTTCTTCTCTCCTCTCTTGCTTCCCCCCTTCTTCTCAGTTGCTCGATGAACACCTTGGATCTTTCGCACCCGGAATACACGTATGACGCACTTGTTGTGCAAGTGGGCCGTGTCAAAGCTAGTGGTTGGCTTCCTTTTGGCGCTTACAAACAGTCCGGCCAACAACACACACAAACAATCTATGTGACTGCTCGACCAAAGCCCGGACGATATGCATCCACAAAAGAATGCATCCACAAAAGAATGAAATTGAATAACGGAAATGGCAGCATCCGGTACCGTCATACCGTCTGAAACAGCTGAGACGGGTAAACTGATGAAGGCAGTCGCTGGAGATCCAGTTGCTTTCTGCAACTCGGCCGGCTCCCCGAACTGAAACTGGATATTGACCGAACCACTGTTCAGTGACCCCAAAGGTTGGAGGTCCATGTTTGGTGAAGCCAAAGGAAAAGGTAAATTGAGTGTCACACTAGGGGTACCTTCCCCGTTCTTGGGATCCATCTTTCTAGAAAACCTCCAGAATCCCAGGTAAAACGGCTGGTCTTTGAAAAGACCGATGGTTGAAAAGAATGGTTGGACTCAAGCCCTAGAAAGACGGCTGAGGCTTCAGAACCGAGGCACTGATGTTGCCGGTGCTGAAGATGTCAGTTCCGTCTAGCTCCAAGGCCCTCGAGGGCTTGTCATATGGCCGCGGGTCAACACCAGTTGTACCATTTTGGGCTAGGTGCACCACCCATTTTAGAACCTATTCTTGTGGGGATTAGGATGTTTACTGGGGGTACGTAGTTTTGACCCATAGCCATATGGGACGAGCTAGCAAAGGATTACCCTTCCTCCCACTGAGATGATGCTTTGGTTGAGGCTTGGCAACCCCTTTTGAGCTGTTCTTGGGAAACCACGGGGAATCTACCACTTCGAGCTTCAAATCCCGACTACACACGGGTATCGAGAAGGACAGCTGCCTTTCTGGGTGTCCTCTGAATGAGACGAAATCAACACATGGCACCTGGCACCAGTGGAGGGTACCTGGAAGATCAGTTTCTCGGAGGAACTGGGTCTCGGTCAGCCACTGAAAGAGAGGGTAATTGGTATAACCCGAAGAGGGACTTTGAATGGTAAGCGGGCACTGGTTTCTAAGCACCCAGCTGAGTCTCCTCCAAATATGAGTGAGGGATCAACCAGTTTAAACATTGTTCAACCAAGATTGCTTGCAAAAGCCTCCCCTGATTTTCCTTTCCAGGGCAGTGTCTTCATGTTTCAATCAGCCGGAAAGAAACCGCGCCTGTAGTGGGGAACCCCGCACCCTGGTAGGTTCCATGTGCGCGCCCAGCCCTTTTGAGGCTCCATATTGAAGACAAGCCATCGCGGCTCATGGATCCACCTGGAACCCCAAGCCCACAGTTTACAGGTTCAGGAACATCCACGGTTTCCTGCCCACAACAGAAGGGACATATTTTGTAGATTGGAGAGCGGTTTCGGGTCAATCCTTTTTGCGTGGTGGAAGTGCTGGGCGCTCTTCGAAGCCGGCCAAAAGCCGGCCAAAAGGTAAGGCACACCAGGAGAACTGAAGAGGGAGTCCTTTCTATAGCCTGATTGATATCTGTTGTCAAGTCCACATTTTGGGAACTGAATCATTCCCCAAATGCAGCAAATCGATTTGTGTGTGCGTTTTTCTTTTGGAGTGCACAAGCTCCTGTGAAAACCCGCATGTTCAGCTTGTACGATGGACTACCTGTTTGACTCCGCCCGAAAGAATCACTAAGAGGCCTGAAAGGGGATTGCCTCTGGACCATGGGATCCACCAAACACAAAGGGAAAAGGTTGAAATGAACGATGCTTAAAACGAGCAGGGAGTATCAACTAGACTTGTGTTGTTAAACACCCCATTTTCCTTACCTTTTGGGAAACCCACAAGACATTGAGCCGCTTTGCCTAATTGCATTTTTGAGGCTCGTGTCGTGTGCCCAAGTCATCCCCTCACAGTAGATTATCGCACACATGGGTGTGTCTTTGGTTTCCTTTTGGTTTCCTTTTAAACCTAAACAAAAAAGGGGTAACTTGAAAAAGAGACGCCCCCAAAATTGCCTTGGCCATAGGTTGCCTTTTGGAAAAATCGATGGCCCTGGTAAATGCCATAAAACCCATCTTAACCAGATGGAACCCATCCATTTTCGACCAGAACCAAAAAAGGACACACTACGTCACTACGGCTGCCCCTTTCGAAGCGGTCCAGTCGGTGTCACTCGCTTTTCCATGGCCTCTGGACCATGTCGTCAGTGGTGAACTGAATGAAGGCCGTCCCTTTGGGCAAGCCGTCGCTGGCCCTCGGCAGCGACACCCGCACGATGGTGCCGCACACTCCGAAGCCGTTCCTGGCGCACACCGGTGCCGCTCGTTTTGGAGGGTGCCCCCTCCCCACCTTCCCCACTGCCCCCTCCAGAAACAAAAGTTGTTGTTCATTGGAGCCCCCAACCCCAACAAAAGGGCCTCGGGAAAAAGACAGAGCCCTATGCACCCTCTGGACATGATCTTTAGAGTACCGGTCAGTTTATTGGTCGCCAAACAGGGCGTAAGCAGTCTAGGCACCCAATCCAAAGGGCCAGGAGTCAGCGGCTCAACTGCTCCCCAAGTGCCTGGGCAAGATACATGCCCACTCACTACCTTATTCCGATGTTTCTGCACCGCCTTCAAAGCATCTCTCCAAATAGCCCCAAGCACCTCCTTGTTTCTTGTTTGGTCAGACATCATGAAGGCATCATACCCTTGAACATACAGGGCGTACGGGGTCAAGGGAGTAAATGATCAACTTCCAGGTGCCTCGTAGCTCCTTCAGCCGCTGGTGTTTGTGGGAAACGGAGTGAGTTCCTCCATGTCCGTCTGCCAACTGGACCATAGAGTACCAGCCGGGGGGGGGTGATTAGGGCCCCAAATCAGAAGAATTGGAACTACACGAAAAATGCATGCACCCCCCCCCCCCCCGGCACCTCATGCCCACGGCGCAAGGGATGGTAGTCCAGCCGCCACGTTTGCAACTCACTTTGGGTACTCCCCAATGACCCCCTAAGGGATTGAAGGTAAAAAGGGTCCTCTAAATGGGGGTTGATCAAAATTGTCCTTTACATGGGATGGCCATTGGGGAAGCAGCTAAACTATGACATTTCCCACAATCGAAAAAGTTACACATGGTCAGGGCTCTGTGATACAACGGAAAGGGCTTCCCAAAGACTAAACCCCCATTTGGGGAGATTCCCTATCACAGAAGTGGGGATAAACCCCTTGATCCCACCCTGCCCATGGTCATTTGATGGACAGGATCCACCCTCAAATCTTGCCATGGCGTCGCAGGGGGGTGCCCCCAGCCTCAGCATCGTCTCATCCACCTCACTGGGGAAGCCTGAAAAAACATGGGCGACCGCCCGGTCGTCGGTTTTTCCTTTCGCAGGCTCGGCGTAAGCATAGGTGGCCTTTGGGAAAAATCGACTGATTTTTCTGGCAGATGGAACAAACCCATCCAAACCAGCGCCATCTACTTTTAACCAGGCTCACCCGAAAAGGACACCTATGGTCAGAAGGCTTAAAACACCAATTCTGCACCCTTGCGGTTTCGGCATCTTGTACCACCAGGGGATGTGGGGACTCTACATGCGTCTAGGCGGGTCTGCTTCAAGCTGCTCCTCCGAAACTTGGTGGGTTGAACTTGGTGACACCATGGTGAAGCAGCCCTCTGGCGCCTTGATGTGTGGGCGACCCTTAGCACTCTATGGCTAGCGATCGTTGCTCACAAAGCCCAACATTGATGAACATAATTCAGCCGACACACATAGGCTTATGTATCCAGGTAGAAATGAACTGGTCACCGCGACTGCTGGTCGTGCGGGGATGGCGGGATGTCTCAAAGGCTATCTTGCTGGTAGGGAATGAAAAGGGGGGTTGGGAATGAACCAATGGATCCCAGAAGAGACTCTACCGGGATGGTCCAGCGTGATTCCCTCATTCACTCCCTACCGAGCAAGCTAGAACTGGTCCGCTATTCCCGAAACTGCCACTCTCAAAAGGTACCACACGCGAGAGGGCAGAAAAGAGTGTGGTACCAATCATTTTGGCGAAACCAATCATTTTGTCAGAATAAGAAACCCACCAAAAATGATCGCTTTCCCTCTGCCGCGGTCTAATCTCCTCTGGGCTCCCTTTGAAGTCCTTCTAACAGCAAAAATCCGACCATCCCGCTAGGCTGGAATTAGGACCCCAGCAAAAAATTAGCTTTTGGCCTGGTCAGTGGAAAACAGAGGGACCCCCAAAAAGCAAAAAAACAAAAAGGGGAGCTAATTCTGGGGAAGTCCGATCCTCAAGTAGAGCCCAGTCACCATGTTTGGGTGGAACCGAAAAAATGAACCCAATACAACTGAGAACAGGGTGAGCCCCGAAATTGCTGGATTCCCCTCGAGGACAGGGGACATTGTGGGAAAACTGGGCACCCTTCTCATGCTTCTCAAACTAACAATAGATAACCAGTACTTTTATTCTGTGACTCATATTTGATGCGCTTGTGAACAGGGCAGCTTTAACAACCCAGTAGCAAATGAGAGCGGGACGCTGTGAGCGTGCGCTTATTTCACGTTTTGAGCGGAAACCCAAGTTGAACTATGTTTGTTTAAATCTTAGCTGAAGTGTAAAGAAGCTCGATTGCGCACAACAGGCTGTGTAAAGTATCATTTTAAATAGAATCATTCTGTTGGAACTTCTGTTATAGCATAGAAGTGGTGTTTGGATTCATTCCTTTATCAACTCTAACTTAGTTGTAGAGTTCTAGTGGGAAAGGGTTCCCTCTAAATTCTACATGTAAGATGTGATATTCAGTAGGATCATCATCAAGTATGTCCTTGTTGAATACCATTTGAGTCCTATTCAAATTGAAACTGAATTTTAGAGAGCAGCCGTTGGTGGAGATGTGAACCGAGTACAAAAAACGCTACAAAACGCGGTGTTTTACGGTGCTTTCTGACCATGGTAGTGCTAAGGCTAGTAAACAAAAATAAACACGATTTCGGGACCTCTGAATTCTTTCCTTCTGAAATCTACTTAACATCTTTCTCAAATTCTACTCAATGTCAAACTGAAATGAAATAGAAATTGTTCAGGGAAGACTCCAATCAAATTGTCAATGTTAAATTAGATTTGCAAATTATGATTATTCTATTTCAAAATAATGCTACACGGGAGTGCCTTTCCAATAAAATTGCCCTTACAAATCAGTAAGCATCTACACAACATGCATTACACATTATCGGTATCTCTGGTGTCTGTCCTTGAAAATTCTACTTGATATACTCATCAAGTTCTACTTAATACCTATCTCACATTAAACAGAACTTGATCAAGAAAGAATCCAAGCAACATTTAAGTTTACAGTTTAGATTGAATGATGAGTATTCTGCTTCAAAATAAATGTTACACAAGATCTCCTTCCCAATCGAAATGTTTTTGCAAATCAATAGACACTTAAATAACATGTTTCTAACAATCTTGGGACCTCTACTTTCTTTCTTGCGAACTCTACTTAATATGCTTGTCAAGTGATACGTGTACACGTCTAAATAAAATTAAGAAGAATGCAATAAGGAACGGGTTCAACCAAAGGAAACCATCTCTAACTTACTGTACTAGGGCTTGGAGGTGAAGTACACGAGCACACTTGATCCCAGAAGCTCTTGCAAACTGGCCGGAAACGGCACAGTGCAAAAAGCAACTCGAGACAACCAAAACAACACATATTATACCACCACCCCCCACATCAGGACAGCTGATAGAGTTCTTTTTGTTTGTTTTTGGTTGGTTTTCTCAGGGGCTTTCACACTTTTGCAAAGAAATGCAAAAAACCTCGAGCAAACACACAATAACAGAAAAAACACTACCTCCCCCAAGTCAGGACAGCTGAAATAGTCCTTTTTATAATCAAGGTTTTTCACACTTTTCCAAAGAAATGCAAAAAAACCTTGAGAAAACCAAAAGAAACAAGACTACCCCCCCCCCCCAAAGTCAGGACAGCTGACATAGTCTTGTCTTGTGTGTTTTTCCTCTTGGTGTTTGTGGTTTTCTCAAGGCTTTCACATTTTTTTGAAAAATATACCAAAAACATGTATTTCCTGAAAGAATCAAGATAATCGCAAAAAAAAAAAAAAAACACGCACGCTCAGGGTGATCTGTTCTGTAGAAAAAATGGGCCTGGCACAATGTCCGATAGATGTGGGCAAGCGGATGACCGTATGGGCCTAAACATTGTTGTGGGATACTTTAAACCCAAGCCTCATGAGCATAGAGGCTATTCAACCTCTCATCCGGGTGCGTGCTTTTTGACGGTGCTTTTCAGCTTGAGGCAATAGGCCATCAAACGCAATTTCACCTTGTCCAGGGTCTGGATTCATATTTTGACACATGCCCACGTTCTTTTTACGTGGCTATCGCAAGCAGCCCGTCGACCCGAGCCTTTGACCACAATCGTGACCTCGTCCTCCTTCTCTTTCTGCTCCTATGGGATGAACGGGTCGCAACTCGCAGTTGGGTCTGTCCCAAAATTGGGTGGGAAAGAACCCCTTCTCAGGTTTCAAGGGAAAACCAAAGGGACACCACCCATTTCGAAGAATCCCGCTTGGGACGAACTTGGCTTGACAGTATTCAACTCATACCCTCCTTACAATGGAAGCTGAGAGGCTTTTTGGAAGACGACTTTTTTTTGGGAGGCCGCACAACGTCCACTTCCATGTTTTGAAAGAGCTTGCCGGGTTTAGGGACGTGACCTCAGTGTCTGACTTTGATCACTGGGGAAAAATAGAAAAACTTGCGCGCCCAGACAGAACTAGGTTCTCTAGTAGACAGGTTAGAATAAGGGTACCCTTTTTCTCAAAAACAGGGGTGAGAAAGGGCACCTAGCTGGGGGTCCAAACCGAAGGCTCCCTGGATGGAAGCAACGGGCAACTCATTTTCCCGTGAAGGAATCCCAAATTTGACCCCCCCTCATTTGCCCCGAGTCTCAGTGATGAGCCCATCCTCTTCTGAACTCCCTTGAGATGAAACCTCCGCCAAAAAAGGGGGCGATCCATGTCAGCCGTGATTTCCTGGCGCCTACATTTTTCGGGGACAGACCATGAACAGGGCGCTCGTAAACAAGGCACTGGACTGGAGGCCTGGGATCCATGGGCCCAAAGCCCGGTATGGTCGTCCCAGAACCATGCTTCAAGAATGAGAGGGCGGAGATCCGCAACGATTTCTTTTTTTTTTGGAACTAACCTTCATCTACCCGAATCGGTTTTGATTGTGACTCACATGGCATTTTGTAGCTTCTTGAGTGGGAACCCCTGCAAAACCCGGGGCTTGAGCTTGGTTCCCGCGCCCCACGGGATTTCTAGGAACCGGTTTTGCAGAAAACACCTTTCAAGGGCAACTCAACGGAAAATCCGAGAAACGCGGTGGAGGTTTCGCCCCCACCCCCTCGCTGGGATCCTTAAACGATACACAATGGCGGTAGTAAACCGCATCGGGTGCACCCGGATACCCGCCCGCAACGCCTGCTTGGAATTTGCTGGCCAAAGGGATCTTCCAGAGGCTTGGACGAACCAACTAGTGAAGCACAACTTGAACCAGTTGCAGTTACCCTCGGCGGTCATTTTGGCACGGGTAACCCTTGCGGTCCGTGCCAGTGAACGTGAACCCCTTGGCATTGGGGCTTCCCCTTTGACAAACCTTTCGAGCCTGGCCGGCGGGATAGAAATCCTTAGAAGCCTCGCGGGCATTTACCCCAAGCGACACCCATTGAAAGCCACCCTTGGCTGCTTCAAAGGGCTTCTGGCAAAGGTGGCCTTTTGGACAAATCGATGGCCCTGGTATATCAATGCCATAAACCCTCATCTAACCCCAGTGGAACCCATCCATCTATTTTTAGCCACACCAGCCTAAGGACACCTGTGGCTTCTGGGTGCGTCCCAACAAAAAACCAGCAACTTCGCGCTCCGCGAAGCAGATTTTTTTCTTCTCGCTCCTTGCGGCTCATCTTGCCCTTGCCTTCGCCCTTGCCCTTGCCCTCGGAGGCCCTGCGCACGGTGAGGCTCACGCCCTTGTAGATGGATCCATCCAGGGCTAAAGCCTCGGATTGGTTAAGCGGAGCTGGCCAAATGGCTGTGGTGGTCAAAACCGTGGGATCCCATTTTGGAACCTATTTTAGTGGGGATTGGGATGTTCACTGGGGGTACGGGATTTTGACCCATGGCAAATCAGGTAGAAACAACTGCTATGGTCAAGGGCAAAATCAGGTGCCCTCCGTCCCACGTGGCCATAGCAACTGACAGGGACCCAGTCCCTTCAGAAGGAAGTTAATCTTCCAGGTACGGAGGAAGGGTAGAACCAGCTGCTATGGTCAATGGGGATTTTGGGCGCTCAAACAAGGAGCCTGCTTGAGCATATGTCCACATTCGGGGTTGACATTGGGTACATTCAACTCACCATTACAGCATTGAGTCGCGCCCAAGTTGGGAACTGACATTGAGCTTGGCAAAATTCTACTCCAAACTCGAAGAAGTGGCAGCCCAGAAAAATGACTCTTTTTCGCCCTTGCTATTCCCCTATCATTCAAAAATCCACTTAAGCCGACCACTGGCCCCGTGGCGCTTCTGTTTTTGGGGCTCGTCCGTTCTTCGGTGACTCCGATGTCGGCTTTCGGGGCGCTTGGTTGAAGACCTCCAGCGTCTTCAGCTCGACAAAGGCGGCCCCCTTGAGGTTGCCCGTGTCCCGGTGCCGCGGCAAATTCACGCGCACCACCTGCCCAGCCCGCGGGCTGAGTCCACGCGCGCGGGCTGGCGCGGGCTGAAAGGCAGGCCCGTGAGCTTCCAGCGAGGAGCTGCTTTTGTGTCTGAAACCCACACAGTCCAACAAGCGGTCGCTGGGGGTTGGATGGGGTTGGACCCCAAACATTGCTCTGGACCCTCGAAACGAAGAAAGGCTCAAGACCCAAAGCTCAAACCCAAACGCTGCCCTTTTTCCAAGAAAAACGGTATCCTGCACCCAAACGACTCAGCACCCCCAGCTTTTAAGTTAAAGGGGTCCATTCATGACCATAACCACAAGTACAGGAAGTGTCAAACCATGGCGCAGTTGGACATGTCACTCAAGAACTCCCGCATAGGAGTCCCCAGGGCTCCAACAGGGTCACGTAAAGTGTGCTGGTGAGGCCACACTTGTGTGGTCAAGGACAACTAAGAGCGCATGTTGGGGGGGCCGGGGGGTGCCCTAAAAAGCATAAGCAACCAAGAGACCAACAGAAACAAAACACACAAGCTAACAAACAAACAATCAGTAAACAGACACACAAACTCACACACACAGACACAACACACACACACAACACACACACACACTCACACACAAACACAGACACACACGCAAACACACACACACACACACAGAGACACACACACACACAGCCACACACAGACACACACACACACACAGACAAACGCACAAACACACTCATACACACAAACACACACACACAAACACACACACACACAGTAAGACACACCTGCACACACACTCACGCACACGCACACGCACACGCACGCGCACACCCACAGCCACACACAAACAAGCAAACAAACAAACAAGCAAACAAACAAGCAAACAAACAAACAAACCAACAAACAAAGGCACAAACACAAGCACACAAACACACAAGCACACAATCAATCAATCAATCAATCAATCAATCAATCAATCAATCAATCAATCAATCAAACAAAACCTGTAAACAAACAAACACACAAACAAACAAGTACACAAACAGACAAACGCACAAACAAACAAATGCACAAACAAACAGACAAACAAACGAACAAGAAAACACACAAACAATCAAACACAAACACACAAACTCACACACACACACACCGTCAAACACACGCACACACCCGAACAAACAAACGAATGAACGATCGACCGAACGAACAAACAAACAAAGACACAAACACAAACACAAACACACAAGCACACAAACAATAGAGAAGACACACACAAGCACACACACACAAACTCAAACAGACGACCAAATGGACAAACAAGCATTCAAACAAAACGAACAAACAAAAACACAAAGAAACAACCACACAAACACACAAACACAAACAACACACCCACAAAACAACCAAACAACCAAACCAACAAACGAACGGACAAACGAACAAACAAACAAGCAAACAAACAAACAAACAAACCAACAAATACATGCAACCACACCAACAAACGCACACACACAAACCACACAACCCACACAAACACAACCAACCAAACAACCAAACAAACAAACCAAAAGACAACCAAACAAACACACAAACAAACACACAAACAAACAAACCAACAAACACACAAACACACAAACAACAACTAAAACACACTAAACAAGCACACAAGCAAACAAACCAACCAGCAAACAAACAACAACAAACAAACAAACAAGCAAGCAAGCAAACAAACACAAAACCAAACAACACACACACACCAACACACAAACACAAACATACACACACACACAAACAAACAAACAAACAAGCAAACAAACAAACAAACAAGCAAACACACAAACAAACAAACCAGTGCAGGGGGAAAGGGGGCCGGTACGGCAGCCGACGCTGCGACGCTCCGACGCTTCGGGCGGGGGGCGACGCTGCGACGCTGCGACGCTCCGACGCTGCGGAAGGAGGGGCGACGCTGCGACGCTGCGACGCTCCGACGCTGCGGCAGGCGGGGCGACGCTGCAACGCTCCGACGCTGCGACGCTGCGGCAGGAGGGCCGACGCCGCGACGCCGCAGTGAGGCGGGCGACGCTGCGACGCTGCGACGCTGCGACGCTGCGGCGAGGGCGGCGGCGCTGCGACGCTGCGACGCTGTGGCGGGGGGCGACGCCTCGACGCTGCCACGTTGCGCAGGGGTAAACGCTGCGACCGTGTGCTTACAAAATGGGACGATTCGCTCCCCACTTACTGGACACACGGGTGGGATGGGTGATGAAAACAATCGCCCAGACCACATTACGGTTATGGATTGAACTACGAGAAACAAACGCCAGAACCCACAAATCTCCAAATCAAATGGATGCATGGCGGATGCAATTGAGCGTGGGCTTTTACCATCTGCGAGCATGTGTGCACTGCTTGAGCGTGGGTTCTTACTATCTGCGAGGTCTGCTCACCTCCGCTCAAGCGCACAGACCTTCAAGGCATTTGTTTTATCAGATCTGCACCGGACTTGTTCTATCCGCAGCATCTGGCATTTTATTTGTTGTTATGTTACGTGCCTAAAAAGAAAAGCACTCACGGGCTAATGCAACGTTTGATGGGAAAAAACCTGGCCTAGACCCCGCTTCCAACCCTCACTTTTCGGCAGTGGATGGGTGGTTTGCTTATGTGAGCCCCGTTCGCTCCCACCACATCCACTGCCCGGTCAGGATAGGTCGCTATTAACAAAACGACCTAGACCGAATTACGGAGGCGGGGTAGGCATATCTTATATAGGAACCACTACCCTATCCTTAACTAGAGGTAGTTCAATCCATAACCAACCCAGTCTTTTTAGTGTCCAGTAGTGGGTGTGCTTACAAAATGGGACGATTCGCTCCCCACTTACTGGACACACGGGTGGGATGGGTGATGAAAACAATCGCCCAGACCGCATTACGGTTATGGATTGAACTACGAGAAACAAACACCAGAACCCACTAATCTCCAAATGAAAAACGGATGGATGCATGGCGGATGCAATTGAGCGTGGGCTTTTACCATCTGCGAGCATGTGTGCACTGCATGCGGATGCACTTGAGCGTGGGTTCTTACTATCTGCGAGGTCTGCTCACCTCCGCTCAAGCGCACAGACCTTCAAGGCATTTGTTTTATCAGATCTGCACCGGACTTGTTCTATCCGCAGCATCTGGCATTTTATTTGTTGTTATGTTACGTGCCTAAAAAGAAAAGCACTCACGGGCTAATGCAACGTTTGACGGGAAAAAACCTGGCCTAGACCCCGCTTCCAACCCTCACTTTTCGGCAGTGGATGGGTGGTTTGCTTATGTGAGCCCCGTTCGCTCCCACCACATCCACTGCCCGGTCAGGATAGGTCGCTATTAACAAAACGACCTAGACCGAATTACAGAGGCGGGGTTAGGCATATCTTATATAGGAACCACTACCCTAATCCTTCACTAGAGGTAGTTCAATCCATAACCAACCCAGTCTTTTTAGTGTCCAGTAGTGGGTGTGCTTACAAAATGGGACGATTCGCTCCCCACTTACTGGACACACGGGTGGGATGGGTGATGAAAACAATCGCCCAGACCGCATTACGGTTATGGATTGAACTACGAGAAACAAACACCAGAACCCACTAATCTCCAAATGAAACGGATGCATGGCGGATGCAATTGAGCGTGGGCTTTTACCATCTGCGAGCATGTGTGCACTGCATGGCGGATGCACTTGAGCGTGGGTTCTTACCATCTGCGAGGTCTGCTCACCTCCGCTCAAGCGCACAGACCTTCAAGGCATTTGTTTTATCAGATCTGCACCGGACTTGTTCTATCCGCAGTATCTTTCATTTTGTTTGTTGTTATGTTACGTGCCTAAAAAGAAAAGCACTCACGGGCCTAGACCCCGCTTCCAACCCTCACTTTTCGGTAGTGGATGGGTGGTTTGCTTATGTGAGCCCCGTTCGCTCCCACCACATCCACTGCCCGGTCAGGATAGGTCGCTATTAACAAAACGACCTAGACCGAATTACGGAGGCGGGGTGAAGCATATCTTATATAGGAACCACTACCCTACGCCTTAACTAAAGGTAGTTCAATCCATAACCAACCCAGTCTTTTTAGTGTCCAGTAGTGGGTGTGCTTACAAAATGGGACGATTCGCTCCCCACTTACTGGACACACGGGTGGGATGGGTGATGAAAACAATCGCCCAGACCGCATTACGGTTATGGATTGAACTACGAGAAACAAACGCCAGAACCCACTAATCTCCAAATCAAATGGATGCATGGCGGATGCAATTGAGCGTGGGCTTTTACCATCTGCGAGCATGTGTACACTGCATGGCGGATGCACTTGAGCGTGGGTTCTTACTATCTGCGAGGTCTGCTCACCTCCGCTTAAGCGCACAGACCTTCAAGGCATTTGTTTTATCAGACCTGCACCGGACTTGTTCTATCCGCAGCATCTGGCAAAAACCTGGCCTAGACCCCGCTTCCAACCCTCACTTTTCGGCAGTGGATGGGTGGTTTGCTTATGTGAGCCCCGTTCGCTCCCACCACATCCACTGCCCGGTCAGGATAGGTCGCTATTAACAAAACGACCTAGACCGAATTACAGAGGCGGGGTTAGGCATATCTTATATAGGAACCACTACCCTAATCCTTAACTAAAGGTAGTTCAATCCATAACCAACCCAGTCTTTTTAGTGTCCAGTAGTGGGTGTGCTTACAAAATGGGACGATTCGCTCCCCACTTACTGGACACACGGGTGGGATGGGTGATGAAAACAATCGCCCAGACCGCATTACGGTTATGGATTGAACTACGAGAAACAAACACGGAAACCGACTAATGCAACTGAGCAAGGCATTTGTTTTATCAGATCTGCAGCGGACTTCAGTACATGGGAGCGATCTATCGCACCACGTGCGCTACATGCACGCCAGGCTCCAGCTGCTGCCACTGAAGCGCGGGGTGCATCAGCGCGCCCAAGTTTTCGTGCGCCCTGAACGTATTGCTCTGGGCCACGAAATGAATTACTTGGTCAGACAGGGCCAGCAGCCAGCGCAAAAATTGCGCCAGGATGTCCAGCCTGTTGCTGCAGACCACAAGGCTTGCCACATCGCCCCTCTGAAGGTCGGTCCCACATCCGTGGTAGACCTTCAGCGCCAACTGCCCGTTGGCCAAGAGGATGTGCGCCGTGCGCACGCTGGCGCAGGCCTGGGCGTAATACGTGGCTCCGCCGACATCCTCAGCCCGCAGTTTGTGGTGCCGGGTGACGTGCTCGACGTCGCCACAGCTCTGCGCTGTTTTGGAGCAGAGGTCATGCATGATGTCCGCCAGGCCATGTTCCTCGTAGGAAACCGCCTCCCCTGGCAGCACGAAGCTGACTGGCACGAACGCAGCGTGGTGCGCGTAGCACACCAGTGGCAGAAGAGGCACTAGCAGGGGTCGAGCAAAGCCAGCTGCACCCCCGCCTTCGGGCTCCCACAGTCCTGCGGATCGGAAGGATGCTTGGGGCAGAACAACAACTAAAGAACCCTTGTCCTGGCACAGCTCTTGGCGCATAGTGCCAGTCCATGCTTTGCCACCGCCGCAGCCACAGATCAGGCCGGCTCATGAAGTCCGAAGCTGCCTCATGCCCGCATTGCGGGTCACGCCGATCGCATGGCCACCCGCCCAGGGGCCATAGGTTCGCCGGGTCCTCAAGTCCCAGCCTGGCTAAGACCTTGCCCAGCATCTCCTGAACAAGGCATTTTAGCATTTTGAACAATAACGGCGCCCATAAAAGTGGCAAGCCAAAGTGGCACAGTCCTCATCCACGCGAAGCACGTCTGTGATCAGCGACTGGAACTTCCTTGTCCGACGTTCAGGCGACAAAGTCAGGCGTTCCAGAAAGACGACCAAGTGCTTTGAGGCCCGAGTCAAGCACACGAGCCGACGCCCTTTATGTTTGGAATGCCCTCCAGGCGAAGTCTCGTGAGGAAAGCGGCGCTGCAGGCACAGAGCCACCACCTTGTCGTACGTGTCTCCCTGCACGGAATCAGGCGTGCCGACAACTACTCGCGCGCGGTGCTCTTCTGAAAGCCGCTCCATCCAGCAGGCAAAGATGTCGACGCTGGCCCGGTACAGAAAGAGCACGGCTATGGTGCTGTCACTGTCCTCGGTCACAGCACATGCGTGTAAGGCACTGCAAACAACACCGTCACTTAAGCAGCTTTAAGGCCGAGGATCCTGGTGCAGCCAGGCCAAGACAACCGCTGCAAACGTCTGGAACAGGAAATGCCCGAAGACGCAGCTTACACTCCCCGGCTCTGCAGGCTGCTGCGTTGTCTCCCACAGGCTCCCTTCCAAGCCCATCAGGTGCACAGCTGTAGCGTGTCCGCTACGGCATCGCAGTTCATCATCCTTGTAAAGCTCAGCTGCCGTGAGGAGACGGGCGACATCGCGGCCAAAACGGCACGTTGACTTGATTTGGACGTTGTTCGCGCAGGCTTCCAGGAAGTCAGACACCGCGCAATAGGAAGGTGGCAGGTGCGCGTTGTTGAACTCATTTGAGGGGCCGCAGTCGGTATCACTTGCTGGAAGAAGGGGCCTTGCCCTTGGCTTCTCCAATCGTTGGTGGTTGTCTCCCGCAGTGATGACACTCTTGAAATGGATTCCGAGCGATAGCACCTCCAGGAGCTCGGCGTTCTCGATCTCGTCATGGACGAGCACGTCCAGCTGTCGATCTCGCAGCCAGCTGGGCGTGTTCGAGAGGCATTTTCGCGCCATATCAGCGGTGAGCACCGCAACCTTCACCTCGCGTAGCGCTTTCGATGTCTCCTCGTACTTGCGCCACAGGTAGTCCACGAAAAGGGTTTGCACCCGTTCGGCGTGCAGCGGCAACGCAGCTGCCTCTGCGGCGCCCACCGAGTCAATGCGCTCGTCGAGCTTGTCAATGCGAGCCAGCACAGCTGCAAGTCGACAGCGCACCGCCTCGGCCGCGTGCGCTTGCAAGTGCAAGGAAGCGTTGGCCTCTTCTTCCGCGCCCTCCACAATCCACACCTCGCTCTCTGGCAGAAAGCCGCGAAGTGAGGCTAAGGCAGTCGAACGGTGCTTCTTTCGTCCAGTGATGAAGAAAGACAGCGCCTGCTCACTGCTGCGCAGGGACCATTGTCCCAGAAGTGCGGAGAGCACATAGGACTTGCCACCGCCCGCAGGAGACCACACTGAATGTAGGCAACCAGGACCACGCAGTATGGCATGCGCCACTGCGCGCTGCTCTTCATCCAAGCCCTCAGGCACAGCAACGCCTGCAGCAGCATGGCTGTGTAAGGGACAACTGACACGGCACAAGTTAACAGACTGCAAAGCTTAATTCCCGCCTAAGGCGTCAAGGACGTTGGGGCACTCTGCGCTCGACTTGCCGAGGATCTGCAGCACTGTGTAGGGCACTTGCAGGCCAGCAGCCGATTCGCATCGCCGGAACCCATTCTGCAAGCTCTCGTGTATGAATGCCACCTGGTGCAAGGAGGCAAAGGCGATCAGGTAGACCTGGTCGCCGGTTCGGAACTGCAGCTCTGGGGGCAGGGGATCCTGGTTGCCCACGTGCAGGGTTACACTACGGTAATCCCCGCTACCAGACAGACCAGCAACGCGCCGCCCAGCATTCCAGAAAACTTCAAGGTCTTGGGTGCTGGCGCGGAACTCCGGCTGCCAGAGATCGCGATAGTTCCGACACAGCGCAGGGTTGTCCAGCTTGGCCATCCAAAAGGCGCAGTAGCGGGTTGAAGCTTTTGCGCGCTGAAGTTCTCGGAAGTCTCCCCACACGGGCTGGCCAAGCTTGCTTGGGTGACCAACAACCCCGACGAAGTGTCCCAGGACAGGCTGAGCCATCATCTGCCATACAGCGCTGTAGTGAAGAGCTCTCCAGACTGCCGCCTTTAGAAGGCCTGGCGCGGCGGTGAGAGCTTGACCGTGCTGCGGCTTCAGGGTCAACAGAGGGCACAATGGAGAGGCCGCGACGAACTCTTGCCATGTCATCCTTGTGCCAGCGTAGCTGTGCCCGGCAGGGATGTGCCGAGTCCATTCATCCAAGCGCAAGCGGGCGCTGCTCAGCCCGTGCGTTTGGCCGATGACGGCGTTGCATTTCCGCCTCCAATTGTTTTTGATGTTGGCCTTGTTGCCGGGCAACCTGTCAACTTCGGCCAAATTGTTCTCAAGGCACTGCAATGCGCATTCCGCACATTTGCGCAATTCAGTTCTCAAGGTCTCGAACCTGGAATCTTCCAAGATGTCCGACCAAGTGAGCGTGCTGGGCAGGTCATTGGGCAACGTTGGCGCCCGGAAAACACTCCAAGCGGACCGGTACAGCCGAGAACCAGGCGCTGCTTGGCGGCAGAGCTGAGGATGTTCGGGCCACCCCGCAGCGCCATCCGGAACTACCCACATGGAGACGTAGTAGTTCCTGTGGCCAGTGTCTATTGCGACAGACGCCGGTACCCGAATGGCCTGAGGAATTTCGACAGGCCAGCCATGCCGTGCAAGATCTACATCAAAGATCACTCCATAAACGGGATCCCTCTCCAAGGCGACGTCCTCGGAGGTGTCGGACCAATCGTCGGCCATGGCTCATGCCATATAGGTCGCTGCAGGCCGTGAAACCACGCGTTGCAAGTTTGTTTTCTTTTGCATATCCGTGTTTGCGCGTGTGTGTGTGTGTGTGTGTGCGTGTGGGTGCGTGTGTGCGAGTTCCCGCAGGCTCAGCGCCGTGCGGTCACAGGGGGGCCTCTGCTTGAGACTACAGTGCGGCAGAGGTAAGCACTTGTACACCAAAATGTCATGTCTGCTTCTGCGGACACCGTAAGCCCACCCGGCTTCGCACATGCAAATCAGCAGGTCGCTGGTCTTCGCTCCTGTTTTATTTCTTTGTTTTGGGTGCTTTGCTGTACGTAGTTTCTCCATGTTGGACTTGGTGGCAAGGCGCCACGCTTCGCGGCCAGCACTGGAATTCAGTAGCTTCTTGCCAACTATGTTCAGTGCACAAGCTTGCATGTACATACATACACATATATATATATATATATGTGTGTGGGGACAAAAACAAACGTAAATGTGCGGGGCATACAACCCAGCGGCAGGACACGCGGAGGCACATATATATATATAGAGATATGCCAAAGGCTCCCAAGTGTGTGTTCGGGCCCTCGTGTCATCATCAAGCATGTTTGACTAAAAGCTTGCGCGAGAAGCAATTATTCTCCCCAGTGGATTTCGATCAACTAAATGACAAAACAACATCACGCAAAACGCAAAAACTATTGAAACCCTTGACCGCCACGACTTTCTGAGTCTCAGGGGTTTCCGCGTCGGTCCTCGTCCGAATGGCCTCCCCCCTAGCCGGGCCCGAAAATTGTTCAAAGCAGCAACTTACTAGTACGGAAATGAAACCGCAGAAATCAAACATCATATTTACATAAAATAATTGCCAATACACATATATATGCACAGTTAATTTTATTTGTTGTTTCATTTAAATTTACATTAATATGTGCGCATTTAAATTTATAGTATCTATATATGAATATATATATATATATTTTTATGTACTGATTGTTTATATGTGAACTCATATTTGCATTTATATTTATGGGCTGAAAATTATGTCAATATCTATTTTAAATTTACGTGTATATCATTGGTCTAATATTTGTACTTCTCTGTTGCATTTTGATCTGCATTTGGATTTAACGAACTAAATCTATGCTGATATTCTTTTCTATCTGAACCTCTTCCCCCATTATGTCTATATTTCTTTATCCGCCGACTACAAGACGGCGTGTTGGACACTCTACGACACATTCCCCTTCCCCTTCCTAGGGGGGTCCGTTTGTGACTTTCCTGGGGGTACCGGTCGGTGGTTTTGCGACGGTTTCCTGCCCGAAGACTAACTTCAAGTTGCAATGGTTCCGAAGACCGAGGGGGGTTCGACTGCCCCCTGCCCCACCCAGGGCTGGCAAAGGCCTTCCCAGCACGCACGCACGCACACACGCACGCACGTGCGCAGTCAGGCACGCACACACGCTCACACGCTTACACGCTCACACAGCACTCGCGACCACCTATTTACACCTCAGGCGCTAGCTGAGTGCGCCAATCTTGGGCCGAGCAGTAAGGTAGCGGTCACAGGCTCCATCTGCGCCATCAAGACATACCTAGGCTGTCCCTTGAGCTAAGACTACAAAAACATCACCCGTAGCTGACTGGCTATTGTTTTTTGCCGCACTCATGCACCCTGACTACAAAGTGGTCCGCAAGGTCATCCATCGCATTTGACACCAAGGTGGCTTGAGTTGGTGAAGAAAGTACAGCTCGCATCTATCTACCGCCCATCTATCGCAGCGCCTCCTGGCGTAGCCTCTGTTGCCGGCTTCTCTCCCTTTTCTCTGGCGAATTTGCCTGCCTGCCTGGCTCGCACGCACTCGTAAAGCAAAACCTTGCTTTTGGCCTGCGTCTTATACGATGCCATATCCGCTCAATTGTCCGGCTCTGGGTTGCGAAACGCGCGCCTACTGCCTCAAGCATCCCTCAGAAGTACTCGAAAACCAGGAGGGGTCGCAGCTTCAGCGCGCCACTGCGCCCTCAGTGGATGGGCCCGGCCTTGCGAGCAAGCCTTCGAGGGAAATCAGAAGGTCTTCCGCCGTTGTGCGGAAAAGGCGGAAGAGTCTTTGCGCAGCATGCGTGGCTTCGAAAATCATCGGGTTTGCCTGCACCTGCTCCACAGCAACGGCGAGCTTTGCGCGCCAGTGCTCAGCTTGACTGCGCCAATGCGTGCCCCAGCGAGCCACAACCTGATCTGCAAAGCTCTGTGGCCGGTCTGCCAACCGCACATGTACAAGATTTGGGCGAGCAGCCACCACCACCCGGCGCTCAAACACAGAACACGACGCCAGCGCCGCAGCGACCATTGTGAGCGTGTGCAGGTCATCCTGGCTTCGGTCTGCTCCCAGGAAAGCACGTAGCGCGAAGAACTCTGCCGTGACCTCGCGCAAGTTGCATAGCGCGGTCTCTTTCCAGCGCTGTCGGTCCTCTGGCTGCGCAACCGTTGTCTCCAAACCCATGAGCAGAGAAGAAGCCATCCCAGCAGCAAAGCAGTCATCTATCTCTAGCGACATGGCGGACAGCTACCACGCAGCGGCAGCTTGGCAGCTGCTCGCAGCCCAGAGCTCAAAACAAGTCATCCGCAGCCGAACCGCATTCAAACCCACAGCGCGGGCCCTGAAGCCGACCCCATTGTTTTGGCTCCCCGGTCTCATCTTAAGACTCTTCTTTCGCAAGCAGCCGAACCTGCCCTCAACAGAAAAAGGGACAGGAGACGGAGATCCTGCACAGCAGCCGCCTGAGGACTTTTCGCAACAGCGGCGGCCACCGTGCCCCCGCACTCACACGCTAGGCTCCTTGTCGGATCTGTCGGCAAGTGTCCACGCTTCCACACGGCGGCGGGCCGCTGCCCAGGCCCTGGCATGCTCAACGTGGAAAGTCTTAAAACAGCACTTGTTGCGTCATCAGGCACGCCATAGCACGGCCAAAGCGCAAGGCAGCTCTGGCGCGTCTGTAGTGGGCCACAAACGCGCGAGTCAACCTAGCACCCTGGTTTGCTGCTTGATTGGGAAAAGAACGCTAGTCCCTCTGTCTGCCTGTCTGTCTGTCTGTCTGCCTGCCTGTCTGTCTGTTTTCTGTCTCGCGTGAAGCGCCGCCTTGCTTTTGACCTCTTATACACACTGCCGCGTCCTTCGAGGCCGATCGGCCATACCCTTCCGGCCCGGAAGCGTGCGCCTGCTTCAAGCATCCCTCAGAAGTACTTGATGGGAACCAGGAGCCGCGTGCGGGCTGCTTCTGCATCTGCATTGCCTCCAATCTCCCGAGCAGACTTCTTTAATGTACACCACCGGCTTGATGCCTTTCTTAGTTTTGCGCTTTGCCTCCGCAACATTGGCAAGTGGAGACTGTGTGTCCGCCTCAGGGGAGCTGTCAGAATCCATCAAGCCAGCTTTGTGCAAATCTGCCAGGGCAGTTTTGATCTGGTCGGCTGTGACGCGCTGCTTCTTGAACCAGATTTGGTTGCGGAGCCACAGCCTGACTTGGTCACTGGCAATCTTTGCACCAACCGCGGCCTTTTCGTGCGCCAAAATCTCGTGCCTCAGGCGATCTTCGGCCGACAAGTTAGCCTTGAGTCGGCTGCGCTCTTCACCGTCGTCAGCTCTTTCCATGGCAGCAGTGAGATCCTTAGTAGAGCCGCCCGGCCTCTGATCTGACATGTGCCGGAACCACTTGTAGAAGCTGAAGTGCACATGCAGCTGCCGGAGCCACATGTTCACCGCCAAAATGAACTCATAGACGTTTGGCTGGGTTCTGGCTGCCTCTGTTCGAGCCACGTCTTTGCCCCCGTACTCTACCACTGAGAACTGACAAATCCGCATGTTTGCATGGGCAAGGCGTAGCACGTCGGTGGACCAGAACCGGACTTTGCGACACGCATCCTTGGTAAGCTGGCTGCCTCTCTCTTCCATAAAGTCTTCCACTGCCTGCTTGACACTCTGGTAGCAGGTCAACGCGTAGCCGTCCAAGTAGTGGTTGCCTTCCGTGCCCCAAGCATTCTTGTACAGCCAAGTGTGTAGCTGTGTGAAGAAGGCCTTCGCGCTAGCAGTGTGGACTTCAGCCGACTCCGGGGACCTTTCTGGCGCAAAGACAAGGTTGAAGCGCTTGTTGAAGCCGTGCGCAACAGGCTGCGCAATGAACTCGATGATCTCGGTTTGGCCTGCCACCTTGTGAAGAAAGAGATATGGGTGATGTGTGGACCCCAAATGCACTTGCCCTCGCCCTGTGGCTTGGTCATCGGCTTCACTGAGAACATAGGTGTTCATTTTCGCCTTGCTCAAATAATGGATTCCCCCAGACCCCTTCTCTGACCAAGGAGTTTCGTAGACGTTGGAAGCCTCATCTGCGACAACCGCAGCTCTGTTGTAATTGAAGATTGCTGAGCGGATGCCAGCGACGGTGGCATCAGCGATGATGCACTCCCGCTTTTGCATCAACTGGGGCGCTTCGGGCGCTTGCAACATGAAGTCGGTCGTCATGGCTATCAAGCAAGTCTTCCTTGAAGACGGGGGACCTCCCACTAGCACTGGGATGTTGGGCGCCTCAGTGTGCTCTCCTGACTTGTGGCCAACACGTCGGCCATGGTGCTCTAGAAATGCTATGTTAGCATAGAAGCACCAGGCCAAGGCTTCGTCGTGCAAGCCGTTCCCTTCGCTAAGGCTCTTCACTGCTTGCATGAAAGGCGCGGGCAGGCAGCGCCTCAGGTCGAAGGATATGTCAGAACTGACAACTCTGTGACCACGCTCTTCGTCTGCCACCATGCGCAGCCAGTCCTTAACGGTAGAAGCCGTGTCTTTGGCTGTACCCATCCCGGTAGCAAAGTTGTCCGAGAAGAGGAGCTTGCGCGCGGCTAACTCATCATTGGCCACCCCCAGGCTGTTGAGAAGGTTTTGCATGTGATCAGCGTGCTGGTTTGCAGCGATCCACTTCGCGCCAGCTGCTGCAGAATCTTGGAATCTGAGTCCAAAATGCTGATCCTCCATCTTGGGCGCGCCAGGCGAGCGCTGCGAAGAGAATGCGTCGGGCGACTCGGTCTCACGGGGTAGAGGTTGCGGCGTTCTTGGTGTGTTTTCCTCGGGGTTCTCGTGCCTTGCTGAGTATTCGCAGGCACTTGCCGTGCGATCGCGTTGGTCGCTCGTACCACTTGGCGACTCGGTCTCACGAGGCACAGGCTGCGGCGTTTTCGGTGTGTTTTCCTCGGGGCTCTCGAGCATTGCTGAGTATTCGCAGGCACTTGCCGTGCGATCGCGTTGGTCGGTCGTACCACTTGAGCCTAGGAGCCACGAGCTGGGACGCAATGTCAACTCCATGCCCAGGGCATCATGCAGCAGCCCGCTTTCTTGCCCTAAACGCAAGCAAAGCAAAGCAGCCTCTGTGCAACAAGGTGCCTTGCGAAACTCACAAGAGGCGCTGCAAGAAAATGGTAGCCTTGTGGAAACCCTTGAGCATTCAGCATCCCGGGCTTGCAACTTGGCCGCTTTCTTTTGCACCACGGGCCGCGAAGCTTACGCGCGCGGCGGGCCCTCCCGAATCGGGACCCTCTCGTCTGCCACGAGTTCGCGGAACCGCTGCCAAGCTGCTTCATCCTGGCATCTCACTCTGGTGAAACCGATGTTGCGGGACACTTTGCATTTCAACATGGCGGCTACTTGCCCCCAGCTCAAAGATAGATGCCTCAGGTCATAGACGATCTGCACGTCAACCAAATCAACCTTAACTGCCCCTGCTATGTACTCGGAGAAAGGGGCCTGCAAGTGCTGAGGCAAAGAGCCCACACGGCCCTGGATCTCGGCGAGCTTGATATTTCGCATTGCTGGGCCTGCCAGCACAGCAGCCCCAGCCACTTGCTCCGAGCCGCTTTCTCCAAACAAAACCCACACTCCAGCTTTGGCGAATTTCATGGCGTTGCCTTTTTTCTCCCTGTAGCTCTGGGCCTCAAACATCTTTTCTCCGCTCGCCAAGGCGCGGCACCACATTGGCTTTAGCACTCGGCAGTACAAGTCTGGCGTGCTCGCGGCTTCCGCCTCCACATCATCTTGCCCTGAAGACGCTAGACTTGGCTGACCGCAGCCCATGCTAGTTGCCCAAGCGCCCAGCTCCACGGCCAACGACTCCTCGCCTCCGAACAAGACTGCCTCCGCCAACTTCATGACGCCTTCTACCTGTTCGTGCACCAGCGTGTCTTCCCGGGCCCAGCCGGGCAATCCATGTTTGTGGAAGTGGCGGTAATTGAATCGCAAGAATGCCAGGTTGGATAGGAAAGACCACCAAGCCTCACTGATGTTCGTTGCTTCCTTTGGAATGAACCTGCCGATGTTCGCCCACAGCCGCTCAACAGGGACTGTCCCAGAGTGCGACTCAATGCCTGCTGCGTGCAGCGCTAAAGCAGCTTCCCGCCAGCGCATGAGGCCTTGCAGCCTGACAGGCGCGCGGAGGCGCGAATAATGAGCTGCAACCTTTGCAGTCCACACTTTCGCTCTCCCTTTCACTTCCGCGGATGGAACTTGCCTTCGATCAATGCCACGTCTTCGTCTAGCGTCCCTCCTAGGTTCCCGATACCACGCTTCCATGCGCCGAACCTCATCGAGAAAGTCTTCCTTGCTCTGATAATTGTAGTACCCATGCTTGGCCGGCAGCGTTGCCCCCAGCAGCCTCGCTGTGCGCGCAAGCACGCCATGCGGAGGAGCGGCTTTGAAAAGGGCGGGCCAAACCTCGTGGTCCTGACCGTTCTCGCAAGCAAGCAGCGCACGCAGCTCCTGCGCTTCTGCAGGTGCACTCGCCACCGCCTCTGCCACTTTTGCCGCCGATTCTTTCACACACGCGCGCAATAACTCCTGAGCTGCGTGCGTGACGGCCAAGTCTGCGGCCGTGGCGCCAGATGCCGCCTGACTAGGGCGAGGAGGAGCGTTGAGCCTCAGAATCAAACTTTCGTGGTCCTTCAGAAAGCACCGGCAATCGTTCGCGGCTGGGGACGCAATGCGGCGCAGAGCAAACAAATCGTGCATGGGCTCCCCCGTGACACGAAACAGCCACCTAGCAAGGCTACCATCCTCGGAAGCAACGGCAATCTTACCATAAGCATCTTTGCAGCGGGTGGGCGCTCGTCCCTCTACCCGCAGATCCTGCCACACACGGCCGTAGAGCTTGCAAAGCTTTTGCCGATGCTTGTGATACGAGTCCGTGGCATGGAAGCACGGCAAAGACTCTTCTAAGCTGAATCCGGCCTGCAGCCGGGCGCGCTTGATCTTCCTTAACAGCGGGCCCAAGGACGCCTCAACGCAGGGCCAGGACTCCGCTTCAGCCAAGGACACCGGCGCCAACAAGCTGCCATCGACCCCGCACCAGCCCAAAGCAACGGAGTACCTGTGGGTCCTCTTACCATCAACCATAGAGACAACAGCCTTCGCAAGATCATAGTTACCGTCTCCACGGATCAGTTGCCCATTGTAGACACACTGCCGCTCCTGCATGAGATCCACTCTCTTTTGCACGTAACCTTCAAAGCACTTCAGCAATATATCCTTAATGGCATGGTGGTCTGGGACGCACATCAAAATCCAACGTAGTTGCGCTGCTTCTGAAAGGGACGGAGTCATCTGGGCGGCATGCAGCACGGAGGCTGAATACAGATCCAGTAGCTTCCTTCGCACTGCATGCAAATTCAAGTTGCTGTACAACATGAAGAGCAGCCAAAACAGAAGCAAGGGAGAGGCAGACACCTTGCCGTGCCTAGTATCCTCGCAGCGAATCACTGCGCCTAGGCCCAAACGAGAGCACTCGGCATCCATGTCGGCAGGTGTCACCTGCCAAGTCTCGGAGTCGCAGCTGCGGCACCGCCACGGGGTCATATCCCAAATTTGGGGGCAAGGCACATCTAGTGTAAACTCAAAGCGCTGACGGTCTGCGCGAGGCAGCACCCGGTGACCCGGAAAGCGTTTTTCATGCAGCTCTGCAGCTGCTGGCTTCAGCGATCTTCGAGCGAGCGGCTGCGACTGCGCTGACATCCAGCTAAGCGTCCTGCTTTCAGAAACAGACGCAGCCTCAGCGGCCTTGGCCCTGGCGCGGTGCACTGCTTGGGCAGGATCGGCAGCATCGCAGAACTCTTTCACGACCACGCGGCCCCGCGCCACCTCTACAACCTCGTGCTGCAAGCGCACACTGGACAACTCTGCTGACCTACACGTTACGACATCTCCGAGCACCCACTGCCCAGCGGCCGCAAGACGAAGAATGGCCACATCATTCCTTGGGCAACCCCGCACCATGAAAGAATCCAGCACCAGGACATCCTGCCCTTGCCATGTTGCTGTCAAACCACGGACGGCAGGCAGAGAAGTCAACTGCTCCGTCGAGATCGCACTGAGCAAAGAGGTCTGGAGTAGAAGCACGTAGTTGCGGCTTGAGCGGCCCGCTGCGAGCCTTTGCGCCACCGCACCGACATCGAGAGCAGCATCTCGAGCGCCAAAACTCGAACGTACCCTCTTCGTCGCCTGCGACTTTGAACTGTCTGGCGCCGCCGCAGCGGCCTTTCTCTTTCTGCTGCGGCTCTTGGCTGTCGCTTCTGCGCGCACAGTGGCCCGCTGGACTGCCGCAGAGGACGCGGATGGCAAGGCTTCACCTGTCGGCACCCTGACCGGCCGACCAGTCCCTGGCAAGCGCTTAGGCCATGGCTGCATGCTGCGGCAGGCGCTGACAAGCACTGCAAACGCTGTGATGCTTAAACGCCTACACCGAGTCTCGAGGGAACGCTGAAGACGTGATCTCTCCTACAATCTTTGAGTGAGAAAGGCAAGCCAATGAAAATAGCATCTGCAGGCACCCCGCCGTGCAGCTCCTGTTGGACTGAGCCGCTGAGAAGTCATTAGCAGGCGAACACTCAACCGCACGCAGAAACCACTTCACTCGGCACCCGCTTAAGAGCGAAAATTGCAAACTGCCACAACAAATACTCGGGGTCTGCCTTTTTCAAAACAAGCGCCAAACCGGCACACACGCTTACCTCCACAGAACCCACCCTTACAATATGGCTGGTAACCCTTGAGCAACGCAAGGATGGAAAAATGCGCTGCACCACTGGCCGATGGCCTGAAGGCACTCAGTTCAAAAAATCCACTCAAGTCTGGAAATGTCATATCAATGCGGAAAAAGGAAACTGTAACGCAAGGAAGTAAAACACCACGCACGTTACTCCAGGGTCCGGCTAACACCGTTCCCCTCTATGACTCTATCACCAGCATCCGGGGTTCCCTGATCCTATGGTCTCGCTCTTTACGCTCCTGGCGATAGAACTGCCACCTCCCCAGCAGGTGCGTCCGCAGAAATAACACCTGGTTGCACAGTACCAGAATGGAGTGTCTGGAAATCATATCTTGCCGGAACAGGTCGGGCCTTTTTCCTCGCGAACTGCCTACTCTAGCAGCTGGAGCCGGAAATGGTCTCCTCGTCTTCTCTCCTGTTTTCCCCTCGTCTTCCCTGATTATCTCCTCGTCTTCTCTCCTCGTCTTCTGTCCTCGTCTTCTCATCTCGTCTTCTCTCCTCGTCTTCCCTTCTCGTCTTCTCTCCTCGTCTTCTCATTTCGTCTTCTCTCCTCGTCTTCCCTTCTCGTCTTCTCTCCTCGTCTTCTCTCCTCGTGTTCTCTCCTAGTCTTCACTGATTCTCTCCTCGTCTTCTCTCCTCGTCTTATCTCCTCGTCTTCTCTCCTCGTCCTCACTGATTCTCTCCTCGTTTTCTCTCCTCGTCTTATCTCCTTCTTATCTCCTCGTCTTCTCTCCTCTTCTTCTTTCCTTGTCTTCTCTCCTCGTCTCACCTGTCGGCACCCTGACCGGCCGACCAGTCCCTGGCAAGCGCTTAGGCCATGGCTGCATGCTGCGGCGCTGACAAGCACTGCAAACGCTGTGATGCTTAACGCCTACACCGATTCTCGAGGGAACGTTGAAGACGTGATCTCTCCTAACAAGGAAGAGACAATGGCATCTGCAGGCACCACGCCGTGCAGCTCCTGTTGGACTGAGCCGCTGGGAAGTCATTAGCAGGCGAACTCTTCTCTCCTCGGCTTCTCCCCTCGTCTTCTCTCCTGCTCTTCTCTCCTCGTGTTCTCTGCTCGTCTTCACTGATTCTCTCCTCGTCTTCTCTCCTCGTCTTCTGTCCTCGTCTTATCTCCTCGTCTTCTCTCCTCGTGTTCTCTCCTCGTCTTCTTTCCTCGTCTTCTCTCCTCGTCTTCTCTGCTCGTCTTCTCATCTCGTCTTCTCTCCTCGTCTTCCCTTCTCGTCTTCTCCCCTCATCTTCTCTCCTCGTCTTCTCTCCTCGTGTTCTCTCCTCGTCTTCACTGATTCTCTCCTCGTCTTCACTGATTCTCTCCTCGTCTTCTCTCCTCGTCTTCTCCCCTTGTCTTCTCTCCTCGTCTTCTTTCCTCGTCTTCTCTCCTTGTCTTCTCTCCTCGTCTTCTCATCTCGTCTTCTCTGCTCGTCTTCCCCTCTCGTCTTCCCTTCTCGTCTTCCCCCCTCGTCTTCTCATCTCGTCTTCTTTCCTCGTCTTCCCTCTAGCAGCTGGAGCCGGAAATGGTCTCCTCGTCTTCTCTCCTCTTCTCCCCTCGTCTTCCCTGATTATCTCCTCGTCTTCCCTTCTCGTCTTCTCCCCTCGTCTTCTCTCCTCGTCTTATCTCCTCGTCTTCCCTTCGCGTCTTCTCCCCTCGTCTTCTCTCCTCCTCGTCTTCTTTCCTCGTCTTCTCTCCGCGTCTTCCCTTCTC